CAAGAGTGAAAAATGTTTTTTTGGAAATAAATGTCTAACCCCTTCACCCATGTGCTTCTAACCTTCACAGACTCCATGAATTGATGCCTATCTCCTAAATATTTGGTCACATGATACATTTCTTTTACCATTTCCAAGCAACAGGGGGTGGCTCAACTTATCCTTTAGCTCAACTTACCCCACTCTCCCCTATCCTGTGTGGAGCGCCGGGCCCAGGTGCTCCATATCGGAGTTGATACTTCTAATCAGCTCTGCAGGCACCTCGGAAGACATAAAAAAATCAGACCATCAAACCACCAACATAACACAAAAGCAGGGGCTTTCACACTGAAAAACAAAAAAACATGAAAGAGCTTTTTACTGTCAGTTTTAAGGCTTCTGGCGAGATGAAGTCTTGTTGTACAGTATCAAGTTTGGCAGAGCTGCAGTGTTATGTCACAACCTGCAGAGGACGCTCTTAGTTTAACAGTAACATTGCTTACTCAATCTTCCAACAATGCAGGCAGGATATGGAGAATTGATTATAGATGTACTTAAAATTTTGAAAAGAGACGGTGAGAGTCCCCTTAAGAGAGATTTTCTTTCTACCCGCATAAACCTTTAATAGAGGAATGGAGCTTTCAAGCACTTATCAGTTTTTCTCTGGCTCTTGGTAAATTGATTTTAAATGAATACATTCAAAGAAATAGCAATTTCCTGCATTGATAACATAACTAGAATCTGAGCTGCCTTTACCTGGATTTAACTTGCCTTAGAGAGAGCTGATTCAATAAAGAGGAAGTCTGGACTGAGCTGCCTTCCTTTGAGTGAAGGGCGCAGGTTTGTAACCTCAATTCAGAGGGGAAAGAAGTGGGTGAAAAGGGAACGAGTGCCTTTTGGTGTGCAATCACTGTTCTGCTTTTATGTGGTAAAAATAAGCCAGTCCGTTTCTACCTCTGAAATGCTACATAGTATATATCCACTTAACAAAGCTTGTCAGTGATGTTCAGTCCAGTCTTCCCTTTGATCACTCTGCTTGTAACAGTCTACAGCACTAAATGTTGAAATGAACCTACTGTTATATCTCCGTTTACAGTCTGATAATGTCAGTGTAGTACTTTAGATTTCCCTGTAAACATTCATCTGCACTTAATAATTACAAAGTACACCTACAAGTCCAATCAGGTGGATTAGTTTTTTAATGTTACCAAAAGCCAAGTGTCAGGACTGACCTACCTGCTTATGTAAATCAGACCAAAGAATCAGATTTTGATGCAAAGATAGGGAAAGATATTGCCATATGTGCCAAACTATGATTCCATGCTTCTATCCATCAAGAAACCACTTCTGTTTTCAGCTAGTCTGTTTGATTCTGATTTTTCTTAACATTGCTCCCTTATGCTCCTACAATCAAAGCTTTAGAGTTTTCAGATTTTAGTCTGTGTGCAGCAACAGCTGCCTATTTATGCAACAGAGGATTCACTCAAAGATGAAGGCTAAATTGCAAAAATATTGCATGTTGAAAATAGTAGAAGAGGCTAGACTGTTTATTTGATTTGATTTTTTCACACCTGGAAAGAATAATAAGAAACAATAGCAATCCCTGCCTTGCACTGTTACCATTGTAGAAGTTAATAGAAGATATGACTGACAAAAGATGTAAAAACAACACCCAGTAACTTCGATTAATGGAGCTGTACATCAGTCGAGCAGAGACCATAAAGTGATCTTCATATGTCTATTCTCAGAGTGGACCAATCTGGTGCTGCTAAGGTGCTGAAGGTGCAACAATTTTATACTCCTGGAGAAAAACACCCCACAGTAAAAATAATCTAGTCTCCGAGACGAAGGCTGTTTTTATGATGTAATAGTACATAAAATTACTCCTCGGCTAACAGGCCCATTTCTGCATCTCCTCTAATCACACCTTTATAGTACATGAGGCAAAAAGTGTATATTACATGTTCATGTAATAGCTTTGTTCCCGCTGTGATTTCTACTATTATCTTGTTAAAGTTAACAGATGTTTTTGATGTAATCTGCTGCCTGATCTACAGGATTACAAAGCTACTCTCTCCCATGTGTATATTTATATACAGTATAAAGACAGACCCATTATTAACAAACACTATAATTAACAGTTCTGGCTCTGCAGCTGCAATTAATATCACTCATTTTAAAAAATAAAGGAATTACTGCCGACGACTGGTTTTCAGCGAGGAACACATTAGTCAATCAAATTATTTATATGCTAAACTTGTGGGAATAGCAGCAGAAAAAACAAACCCAGAACAGTTGACATCCCTGGAAATAAATACTTTATGACAGGGTTAAGATCAGACCCAGCACAAACGGAGGAGCTGGGGTGGAGGTGGAGTTGGGCTGTAGTACATTTGTAGAAGAAACAAGAGAAAGCAGACTGAAGCAGTTTCAAAAGAACACCCATCCTGACATTTGCCAACTCCATGTGAGGAAGGTTATCAGCTGAGCTGTCAAGTGATATGGTCTAGCATTGGGATCAGCTGGTGTACTGTGTGCTAACGCTACACTCATTTTCAGCAAAGACTACTTTCATCAAAAGAATTAATTACTTGCATACATTAGTTTTATTTGGCAGATTCAGCGGGGATCCGTTTTAGGAGTCCTCTGCCTCTCTGTGTGGGCAGCTTCCCTTTGATTATCAAAAAGTATCTGCAACCAGAGGGAGAGCGTGAAGGAGACAGAGGGCCTAGGCATGAATGTGAACAGAGGTTTAGATCCAACATCAAAGTGTGACAGCAGTCTGATATAAACACAGATTGATCCTCTCATTGATATTAGGAGAAGAGAACCACCGTTGTCTGTCTAATAAGTAGACAGTAGGCTGTCTGTGTACTTTTTCTTTGTTATGAATATCAAAGACAGTATTCTGACAGACTACTATGCTCATCCCCTTGTCACTTTACTCAGATAGGTTGTGATGGAATTGCCTCGCTGTACACGGGTTTTGATTTCATGCTTTCAATAAGCCCACTGGTATGGTGCATTTGGACAACTTCTTGATGCTCACTATGCATCTGTTGAATTTTCCAGTTTTTTTCCGGTGCAGCCCTCAACAATCACTCACCTCTGAGCAGAAAAACGCAACCTTTGGCCTTTATTTATTATGGCAACAGTTACGTTTCCTTCAAGCTGACACTGGAGCTGAGCTGACTCAGACAGACAAAAGAGAGAGCCTCTGAAATGTTCACAATTAAAGCCATTTGCAACTAGTTACAACCCGACTTGTCAAAGAGAAAGGGAAGCAACATAAATCCAGTTTGTAGGTGTTATGAAGTGTTTTTTTTTTTTTTTTTTTTACAGGGAAGTGCGATTAAACCGTAACAAAAGAAAGTGAGGCACATAAAAGATCTGGAGAGTGCTGTTCAAATCAACAAATAAGGAAAACGAAAAGAACCCCTAACCTAGAGTCAGCAGAGACCCTCTTCTTTTGAAAATAAAAACGGAAATAAAGCCCTACTAACTCATCAAATCAAACAAAAATTACAAACAAACAGCACCCCTAACTAAATTGGCATAAAAAAGAAAAACCCTAACAGTGAAAGTGAAGTCTACGGTCTAACCTTGACACAATTTAAAAGAGTACAGAGATAGCTATGCTAATAGAATGAATGAAAAGCAGCCCAGATTTTCAATGCAGAGCACTACTCTGTGATTGGCCAGGACTCCTGCTCCGCACCAATCATGTACTTAATACTGTTTTAAAAAGTGCTTCATAATAGTCCACAACATTATACTGTGAGATAAAAATGAGAACGATTAAACAGACCAAATAAAAGACAAACACAATCACATCCATCAGTTGATTTGGTTGACGCTTATCTCAATGGTTCATGTGTTGTTTTTCTCTATTGTGTTGCTTCAATTATAATATTTAATCATCCTGAGAGCAGGAAAACACACTGCTCTTGGGAAGGTTGAATGTGACCGTTGAAACAATACAATGTGGGGATTAGATTGTCTTGTTTTCAGGACCTGCTCAGTTTTTGATCAAATATTCTTAATCCAATAAAAAAGCGAATGATTCATCAGTAAAACCACGTCATACTTCTTCTGGTACACTCCAGGCTCCAGAGATTTACAGCGGATGTCTTTAGTGTGGATGTGCTGACGACCTAAGAGCCCACTGTACCCCTTAAGTGCTGTGTCGCAAGTTATTACGATATTGATTATTTACTACCTTTGCTTTGCGTCACCTGCAGAAACCCAATATACAACAACTAAGTTAGAAAGTCAAAACTTTATTACATAATGCCAGTTTATCATGTTTTTATAATAAGCTCTTCAATATTCAGCGAAGTGCAGCATAACCTCAGATGCCTCTGGCTCTGTTTTCACCTCACAGTGAAGCTTTAATCTCAGGAGAATCTGCTCTCCTGTGAATTTAATACCCTCCTTGACTCCGGCAGATAAAAAAGAAATACTTGCATGAGTGAAAATGTAGTGAGATCAATCTGATATCTTTGATGTGAACTGTTTTTTTCTGGAACTGACATACCACTATCTGGATTTTTCAGACCAGATACAGTTGTAAATGTCCCTAAATCACATCACGAAAAAGGCATTTTTAGATGCAACTTCTGTGTGTGAGCATATGCAACATCTTTGGAGGGTTTTTGTGTATGTCTATATTTTACTATTTTACAACACACTTGAATCAATAGATGGGATGTCCTATCATCAACATCTTGCCAGTTAACACCACAGTCAATGTAGGACTGCACGTGCATAGCCTAAAGTCCAGCATGATCGTTGCTAGCACTTTAAAACAGCCCCATGAAATAAATGTTCACCGCTTTACAGAATAGTGTGTGCACACATGTTTTTCATCATGCAAGATTAAAAGTACATTTGTGTACCTGCTCTGAGGTCAGTTCTGTTGGTTAGTTGGTCAACAGCAATAGATCTATGAGAATCTATCTCACAATGTTTCATATTGAAACAACATGGTAATGTAACTGAAACATCCAAAACAAATAGAATAGAATAAAACAGAACAGAATAGAATTTAATAGCTCAGAATAAAACAGAACAGAACAGATCATAGCAGAACATAATGGCGCAGAATAGAAGAGACTTTAACAGAACAGAATAGAAAAGAATAGAACGGAACAGAATAGAATAAAATAGAACAGAATGGACCATAATAGAGTTGAAAAGAATTAAACAGAATCGAAAAGAATAGAGTCGAAAAAAATAAAACTGAATAGAATAGAATAGAAAACCCAAATCAGGACCTTGTGAATTGGACTTGAACAGATTCAGGCAATAAGCAAATATACACAGCTACGGCGGACTATACATACCAGAATATTCAGAAATATAAATGAAGTGCCTGCTACTATGTTTGCTGAAATTAGCCTTGCAGCACGTATTACATGAGTTTATCATGTGCATGAAGATGCCATATCAATTTGTGCGTCTGGTGGTGTTGTGACTCTTCTGCCAAGCAAACAATTAGTGAAACACGAGGAGATTGGATAGATGGCATGAAGGCACTTTCTGATTCATGTTCAACAAGTAGACCACACTTATTTCTGAGCATTAATTACAGAGCTCTCTAATCAGTGTGAGGCAGTCCAAAGAGACTACCTCCCATCTTTTCTGCTGCATGATCATAACTCATATGGTCATATGGCATTTATTCCCATTATGAGATCAATAAAACCTTTACTGCAATACCACAGCAGAAAATAGTTTATTTAGTCGGTAAATAATATATGTTACACCATGTTTTAAAACCCTTTTTTGATAAATATCTTTTTGAATCTGTATGCACAAATTATACAGGCTGTTTGATTTGAAAACTCCGTATTATGAAAGAGGACAGAGAATTTATGCTGGCGGAGGGCAAAAAAACACAAACACACTGGACAGAAATTGCTCAGTGCAAAGGGAAGTTGTTCTATTTTAAAATATGGTCTGAGAGAGAAAATTACATCTTACACAATCTGTACGCAACAACAGCAAAGAGGACACGATATTTTTCTTTTTACAGCTTTGAGGTAGGACACAATTTCAGCACAAAACAGAGAGGGAGGGATGCCGAGAGTCTGCCTGCATTTGAGGAATTACACAAAATAGACACTTTTTTAAACACATAAAAACTGCATAAGTACACTCATTAATAAACATATTCATTTAAATATATAAGATTTGACACCAAAGAGAAACATGCCATGAATACAGTCTTTGCAAAATACAAGTAAAGCATTTTTGTGTTATCATAACTGGATCCAAAAATGTGTTTTCAATATTTATAAATACTAAACATATGCCCTTTGACCCCTGATTCTTAAGCTTTTTATAGTATTCTAATATAAGGTTTATAATGTTTGAGATTTTAAATGCAGCTTAAGTTTAAATATGGCTGAACACCATGTCCAAACCAAGCAGAAACTTTACGTCTTGAGAAATGAAGCTAATACAGAAGTGCTACAAACCACAATTTCCCAAGAGCTAGCTGGAGGCTGTCTGCAAAAGCACCAGAAAATACATACACATCCAGTCCAAAAGAGTCCCGTTTTACAGGAGAAATAAACATGTTTACGGCCGGGTTCAAAAAACAGTTTTGGTCTGAATACATCAGCTCTCTTATGGCAATGATTTAGGAGGAGTGGAATTTTTTATAATGCATTTGTTTGAAAGAATTCAAGGTTAGGAGTGAATCAGGAGGAGTAGGCTAAAGACCAGCCTCTGTGCAGGTCAATGAAGTTTAGGTTGCATCTACATCTTAAATATGGCAACTGCTGCAGATAGGCTTCAAAACTCCACTTCAGAAACAAATGGGTGACACCCACAACATTACTTCCATGTATTACACAGTCTTTGCTTCAAACAAATTTCCATAAGTTTTTTGCATCATTAAACATTCAATTCAAATATAGCAACTCAGATCTTGACAGGACAGAACAACATCTGCATGCACAATTTCAAAGCAGCTGAGCCACACAGTTTACTGCTCAAGATTTAAAAACAACAACTTGAATGATGGACTCTTTCATATAGTTGAATGAGATTTTAATTGAGGAGAATATGAAGCAAATAACACACGAGTAACGCATTAAACCTTCAGTTGAACATGGTGAAAATAATGTGGAGAAGCTCCCCTCTGAATAACTCCTCGAAACTTTCTTTAGTTTTAAATCGTCTGAGTTACCTGATATCCCCTTGGTTGCCAACTTTTGAAAACCTTTGAGAGAACTGGTTTGAAGTTTGAAGAAACATTCATTGCTGTTCTTGATAAGTGCTGGAATAATGTGGATTCTAGCTGTAATAAATACTAGAGAAATAAATACCAAAGTGCAGGCCATGGTTAAGGCAAATAGTGGGGACAGGAGATAATTTTCACCTTTCCTAAATACAATCCTTTTTGACTTTGTGTGTTTCTGTTCGAATGGAAATAATTGTTTTAAATAACAACATTTCTGATTGTTGGCTCAATGCACACACTTGAATACTCTGTTTTTATGTGTAATCCCTTTGACTCTCCTCCTGTTCGCCACCCAAAATGTGCGTATCGAGATGACAAGTTTGCCGAGTTTCAGCAACATCAGTCACAGTGTCTTTCACGTGTGGCAGAGCCTGAATCACTAAACCTCTCATCACGTCTGCCTCTGAAAAGGCAAGTTAAGAGTCACAGTGGCCTCTCTTGGCTCCGCGATGGGCCTGTTTATCATCTCGCATTCATTCTGTCGTAAATTCTCCTCGTTCATGTGTGACACTTCCGTCGAGCCAGCCTCAAACCCTGGCACGGTGTTGGCCACGTGAACCACATGGACTTTGTTTCTGCCTTTTTTGCTGAGGATGCAGCTGAACACTTTCTTGAAGCCCTTGCGAAAGTGTTTGGACACCAGAGCGTAGACAATGGGGTTCACACAGGAGTTGGCGTAGGCCATGCAGTGAGACAGCAGCCTGAAGGCATACGTGGTCTGGTTGAAGGGGAAGTCCCCGTACAGGTAGCACAGGATCACCACGTGGTACGGCAGCCAGCAGATACAGAACAGCACGGTGACTATGATGATCATTTTGGTGACTTTGCGTTTGGCCCTCTTGGACTCTGACATGCCGTCTAAAGGGTCCACGGCCGTCCACAGGTACTTGATGGTCCGAGTGTAGGATAAACTCACGATCAGCACAGGGATGACGTAGCCAAACAGAAAGGTACACGTGTCCAGCACCTTCCGATTCTGCTCCTCCCAGCCAGGGATGCACACAGTGCTGTTGTCGTAATCGATCAGGTCGTAGTAGCTGAGATAAGGACCCGCAAAGACTAGAGAGAGACCCCAGATGATCACCATGGCAACCACTGCGTTACATGGGGTTCGAAGCTCTCTGGAGCGCAGCGGGTAACGGATGGCCAAATATCTGCATAGGGAGAAAAATAATAAACAGACTCAAACCAAGGACATGATTGTTAGAAGTCATGCTAAGAGTAGAGCATGATCAAAACACATTCAAGTAATCCACACTGCTGTGTTTTAATCTGTTTAAACTTGATTGGAGATAAACAGCCAAGAGCAAAGACTGAATCAGTTAACTCTGCCAACTCTGCCATCTGCCATTTACTCAGAAGATTCTTTTATCCTACATTTACACCCAAAAGTCCTTTTATCCAGTAGCTGAGGAGGTAGAGCGTTCATCCAGTAACCAGAAAGTTGGCAGTTCAATCCCCCCCTATCCCGAGTCTGTCCATCGTGTCCTTGGGCAAGACACTTAACCCACCTTGCTCCCAGTGTGTGTCATCCCCTGGTGTAAGATTGTGAGTGTTGTGTGACGGTAGTGGGAGAGGCTGTAGGCGCAAACTGGCAGCTACGTTTCCGTCAGTCTGCCCCAGGGCAGCTGTGACTACTAAGGTAGTTTACCACCACCAAAGTATGACTGTGTAAACGAATGAATGATATATCCAATGTAAAGTGCTTTGAGGGTCTCTGATAAAGCGCTATATAAAATCTGATGCATTATTATTATTATTCATAAGTTTTAAAAATGGAAAGTTTGGACTGAAAAATAGTCTATTTGTATGAACCATTTTACTGTATTTGTGTTTGTTTTACTTCACCTTGCATGTTCAATACAATATCGGGCACCTTAATAATGTGCTGAGATTAGCTCCATATGTAACCCAGTTCAAATTTACACGTTTCAGTGCACTCATGATTTTTCTCTGTTTTGCATAACATGAATCCAATTTGAACTAAACCCTCAAAGTGAAGAGGGTCTGACAGTCAGTGATTTGATAATATCAGGGTTATATCCTCCAAGGCTGGTGCTATACCTCCATGCTTCCTGTTATTCCTCACCTTGAAGACTCTGAGTTTAACATCGACATTTCCCTCAAGCAATTTCAAGGTTTTATCAAATAAAACAACCCCTCAGGGAAATGATCATGAATGCATCACCAAGTTGATGACACGGTGGTTTCTTGTGCTGAGCTGTGCTGCACTGTAAAGACATACAATCCCAGCATGCACTGTGTGCTATGATTAAAATAGAGTTATTTTAACAGCACCTATCACGTTTATTAATCTGACACCGTGCTGTTTTTCTTCTGTTGTTGCTAAAGTTATCTGCTCAGTGTCACATTGCTTGTTTTTTCTTTAAACATGTGCAGCCTGTTATCAGGGTGCCGTGTCTCTGTGACGGATGAAGATGCTTTGTTGATGTGTTTATTCCAATCCTTTTCTCCAAGGTGAGACACCTCATCAAATGTAAAAACAAACAAAAGAGAACTGACTTGTAGACTTCTGTTTTCGAGAAACAATGGATCCCCACTTTTCCGTGAAATAAAGCCGTGATTAAATTTCACAGCAAACTGGCTGAAAAGAAATGTTTCAGTATGTTCCCAAATGTCTCTAGAGCTGTTCAACAGCAGGTGCAAATAAATGTCCTAATAAGAAGCAATTGAGCCAAATAGCTTCATTTTATTGTGCTGCAGTAAGTGGGTTTATTTTGGCCAAACTCTGTCTTTACTCCTGCAGGGGTTCAGTAGGAGAAAGTAAAGCTGCTCTTTGACATGTCACAGAGAGACTAAAGACAGAAACCAGTCATTAACTTCTGAGCTCAGATGTCCCTGCTCTTTTGCTGTCTGAAGAGGAAGCATTAGGGCGGCAGGATGAGAAATCTATTAAATCCTCAGAGGTGTAAACAGAGAGGGCAGCTGCACACAGACCCGGTCCTTATTGACGGAGCTAACCGTGTTGTTACAGCAGCTGTAATGATGGCTTGGAGCTTCGACTCTGTGGGTATCATTTCCAGATAGAGGAGATAATGAATAATTCTTACATAAGCTTTTGAATTCCAGACTGAGCACACTCTTTGGTCTGTCTTTGAGTAATCCTATTAATGTGTACCTTTATAGTCCTGCGATTTGAATCCAGCCAGAAGTTGCCATTATCTTCAGTTGAGAAAAATACATCTAATCCGTCTTAATGAGGGACAATGTACTGAGCAATACATAGCAGTAACAGATAGAGAGTGGGCTTGAATCAAAGCTTCCTTTTAGCCTTTTTCAACCCCCTTTTTTCAATATTGATACACCGTTGAACTTAAAATCTGTTCCTCTTGACAAATACATGTACTGATAATAGTTGCATGGGGTAACGCTTAACAAAAGGGCTTCAAAGTGTGATGTTTTGGTGATGCGAGATTAATTAATTATGATGAGTTAATGTATGATGTGTCAGATTTTCTTTTTCTCACACTGAACAAATGCAAAAACACTAATTTGATTCCAGTCATATAAAAGTAAAGCATGCATTTGAACAGGACACATTTTTTCAAGAAGCAGCCCCTCACATTTTCACATTTCTTCAAGACTTTATTTGATGCAATAACATGCCAATATTCAAAGTCACTTTTCTTATTTAAAGTGTTAAAGTCTGAGTTCTATGTGAGATTATGATTTGGATAAACTCAGGGGCTTTTACATATTTTAACAGTGAAAGTTTGATACTCTCTGCATCCGTATGTTCATTATCTCCTTATTTTAGGTCCTGTGATCTTCAATGAGCTGAATTTCAGAGCACTCCTCACTCCCACTCTCTGTTGCTAGGATATAAAGTTGCCCTGCAGCTCGTCTGCCGAGTGCGTAGAGACCAATAAGTCTGTTTATAACAGTTTATGCTCTGAATGATCATATTTGATCACATTTACTGTCATTTTTACAAAGCAAATGTAAAAGCAATTTATGGAGACTGTGTTAGAAATACAACCTGCCCCTGCTTGTTCTTGATTGGTTGACCAGCACCAATCACGATAGCTAACACAGTGTCCCAGTAGTTGAACTATCATCACATCTGTGTGCACAGCAACAGACAAACAGAGAGTGGTGATGTGCAAGGAATGCTGAAAATGCTGAACTGCATTGATTTTCAATAGTATTAGGTGTTACCTGTGCAAAAAACACTGTAACTGAGCACACAGCCTTATGCATTTGTAAAGACTCTTTAAGTTGATTTAGATTTGGACATTTAAACTGTTTATCATTGTCAAAGTGGATGAACTGCTTAGAAACATTGTCATACTCTAAATGCATTTGATGTTTGATGAGAATACAGAACTGTGTTGATTTTTATTAAAGGTCCTTGTTTGTGTTTTCCTTGTTTTATAGGTCTATCACATAGACTGAATATAGAATGGACAGCGTCTGCCTCCATGCTGGGTGAAGCTATAGTTATTGTAAGACTGGTTTGTGCTCAAAGTTATTAGGGGGTTCATATTTTCTGTGACTGACACCTGATACAGCCTATTGGCATTCCTATTGTGTAGCTCACCGAGGGATACGCTGTTTGAGCTAAGCGTCATCACAGCGACTCCCCGCCGAATGCGCTCAACGCTACTGCGCAGCGCTGGTTTCAGGAAATGAAGAAAAATCGCGGTCATACTGAGAGCTTTTTGGCTTCAAATCCGTATACAGGTGGGAGGCGGAACCAAGTTGTCCATAGTATATACAGTCTATGGTCTATCATGTTTTCTGTTTTATTCTGGAAGTTCTCATTATTTTTTTACACACTTGCTTTGAACCACTAACCTATGAATATCTCTCCAGTTTGTTTTTATCTATGTTTGATTAGCTCATATTGATTAAGCCTTAAAGCTTCTGTGAGGAACTTTAAGTTTGTGTCAAGTTTGGCGCCCCCTGTGGACAAATCAGTCTTTGCTTATCTTGTCCTTTTCATGCTTATACTGTTGTTGTTTCACAAACAATCTTATCCCACTGATTTTTAATGGTAAAACATAATTGCTTAAGTTTGCTGTGGAAAATGTGAAAACAGGTATTTTCCTTCTGACCCCTACCTCCCTGCACTAAAATCTACAAGATAAATGACTAATGTTGTCACTGATGTTTTTTTTTTTTTTTTGCTTTTAAAAAATGCATATGAATGCATCATTATGAATTTCAGTCCATTTGATAAATGAATTTAAAAAAATAAAATAAAAAAAAAATGCTTCTCCTTGGAGCTCTAACTTTCACAAGGCAGTTGTTTTTCATTTGTACTGGACATGCACCATGTTGGTGGGTTGCCAGCATACGTCTGCTCAGTACTCAGTGTAATTATGTGTTGACAGGGAAAAATAGCTGTTCCTCATCATTGTACAGTGGTGCTAGAGCAGATAAATATAACACAATTCTAATTCATCACTCCTCAAACAGCTGAGATGAAAAAAAAACTCAGTTTCAGTAATAGCAGCCTACGTATGGATCAGTTGAATCGTTAAAACGAGTTGCATCAGTTGATTTTTACTTTGATTGCTGTGCCTTCCATCTTCCTTTAGAGGAGAACCTCCCTGTGGTCCTCCTTAGTGCTTTTTATTCTGCTGGTTTTCCCTGCTGTTTTTCACCAGCTTGTTATATTAAAAGTTAAACCTTTTGGTTGGAAATTTGTTATCAGGACTTTGAGTAAGATTTATTTTTAGTTTCCTAAATGTTTCATCAAGTTCACACTTGAGTCTCCAAGTTGATGGTTTGAGAAGCTCAAACCATCAACTGTTTAAATAAAAATATACTGAGAGTGTGGAGAGGACAGACACCGGTGAAATAAAGAGGATAACTACAGCTTTCAACTTGAGGAAATTAGAGTCATTCAGGAGGGCAGAGGATTTTCTTTTATTTCAGGATACTGCAACATGGATTCAATAAAACTGATTCATTGGTGCAGGGTTAGTTATTTGTCAGAGTGTATTTCAATCAGAGACCCTGAAAGACCTGAAAGCGTTTAATTCACCAGAGGTTTCACCTCATGATGCATAACTAAACCTGCACATTTCTGATGAGAGCAGAGAGGATCCAACAGACGTGTAACAACAAACGCCTCATTGAATGATCCAGCCACAGAATACTTCAACACATTGGATGATGGATTCATATTCTGACTTGTTTTACAGGGAAAATTTACAAGCAGTCTCTGCTTCTTCTCAAGTTGATGCTTTTCTTTGCTGAATATTGTCAATGAAATGATAAGTGTCAGACACACTGCAAAGGCAGAGACAACACAAACATAAAGAGCAGTGGGAAAAGTGTCAGCTTAGGTGCTAAAAATGTGTGATTATGTAATCAGTTAATTAACTAAACTACAGGCTTTTTAGCTAAAAAAAAACTGTAAAGAGATGAGCTTATGATAGAAAATAATCATCAGTGTGGAAAGAGCTGCAGGGGCATCAACCTTTAGGATCAAGAGGCTCCATGAAAACAGCCATTGTAATGATTTAAAGAGGAAAACAGTCGTGCTTACAAAAAACAGTACATGGATGTGGCAGATACCATGTGAATGTTTAGCAAGTACATGGTAAAAGACTGATCAAATAATTCCTCTTAAATAGAATCACACACTCAAATATTTCCTCTTTTTTAGGTCAATGTATGATGGTAACTGTGAACTTACCGGTCAACAGAAACAGCAGCAAGCGTGAAGCTGCTGGCGTACATGGTCAGGTTGATGAAGAAGTGGACTACTTTGCACATAAAGGAGCCAAACACCCAGCCCTCCAGGGAGTAGATGGTGGCTTGGAAAGGGACGCAGAAGATGATGAAGAAGAAGTCGGCCATGCTTAGGTTGAGTATGAACAGGTTGGTGGTGTTGTATCCGACCTGTCCGCTGCGCAGAAGCACAGCCAGCACCAGGCTGTTCCCCACCGTACCCAGGAGGAAGATGAGGGAGAAGACAACCGACACGATGATGCTGGCGGGGTTCAGCTGGTAGCTGTCAGAGACGTTGACCTGCCCTCCTGGCTTGGAGACATCCTCAAAGTCAGACATTTTTGAAATCTGAAACAGGGGAGGAGAAGAAATCAGCCAAGTGGAATAAAACAACTATCCTCTCCTCTCACTGTGTAAGCCTCCTAAAACAAAAACACGTATTTGTGAGACGTTCACCAAAAATAATTTTCTGTGTTGTCAGTTTCATCCAGGGAATATTTACACTGTTAAGTTGCAAGTAATGTTGTAGTGCTGTAAATATATATTAACAGATCTGTCTTGAAATCTTTAAAAATGGGGCTTTTCTATGCAAAGTGTTCTGGTTTCTGATTGTAGGAAATACGGTCCATCTCTACAACCATATTTTGGTATTTGGTATCTGTTTCTTTTCCAGGTTATAAAAACTGGAGTAAGTCCAAGTGAAGCCTCACCAGAGGCCCAACAAAAACAGATGGACTCACTCTGTCTGGCATCTGTGCAATTTAATTCTGTGCAACTGAGACTAATTGGAAAAAAGTTTAAAAAAATCATCAGAGAGGCAAGACAGAAAATAAAAACACAAGAAATGATGCTCTTAATCTGATCACATGGCCACCTCTCAAGTTACTAACTGGACTGTGAACAATGAAGTGCACACGATAAGAAGTCTTAGACAGGAGACATTTTTCACAGTCATCCACAGTGGCATGCCTGAAAGGGCGACCATCCTCCTAAGAGGCTGAATCATCGCCAGACAAAGGATCACAGGCTCCTTCAACAACATGTTTTTGGCTCAAGACCTCACTTGTGTTAAAAAAGAAAATCCTTTCAGAGGAAGCTTCCTGGTGTTCAGACTTTGTCTTTTTATTATGCAACAATAAAGGGAGAGCCAAACTAAACTTGATGCCAGCATTGTGTTTTTACAAAGACATGTTTACAGTGATGCTGACAGTGAATTGTTGTCATGTTCTCGCCTGGTATTAAGATTCCAGTGACTCAGCAACAAGGAGTCTCCTTTGATGTATCTTTAGCTTTTGGGCACTTTTGCCTTTATAAGATAGAAAAGCTGGAGAGAGACAGGAAACATGGAAAGTGGAGAAGCAAAGGGTCATGGCCGGGAATAAAACTATGAGTGCTGCGACAAAGACTTTGACCTCTATTGGCGTTCACATTTATCTGTACCGTGATGCTCCAATTGTTTTCAATTAACAAGTCAGGCCTGAAAAAGTCATTGTCTGGATGGCAGCACATGTATATACTATCCAGCATTAATGGAGTCTGCATTCACAGCCAGTGCTCTCTGGATGTGACTTTGAGATCATGCATCGATTTCCACTGCAGAGTTATGTAACCCTTTTAAACGCAGTGCTACCCAAGGGCTTAAAACTCTTGATGATCCAGTATCAGTGATCAGCCATGTCTCTTTTGTTCTGGGATCTCTCCACACTCTCTAAATATCTTGTGATGTTTTATGCTGTTGGTAACAAAGAGCAATGGCTGAAGTAATTCCTTCTTAACAGAGAGGTAAACCTTGTTTTATCTTCTGTGAGATGCTGCCGGCATCAAACGTAAAGCAATCATGCATTTTCATTATGCAATAAGAGTTTGATACTTGATATGTTGTCTTTGCACTATTTCTAATCAAATGCAGGCTTAAAATGATTTGTTTTTACGATTAGTCAACGTTATGGACAAAAATCAATAATGAAACAAGTTGGTAATGAATTCCATAGTCGACTTTTGTCGCCAAACGTGTTTTTTTTTTTTTCCAGCAGAGTGAGGCATCTTAGTTCATTACGATCTCTGCCTAGAGTCACACATGCGCAATAGCGTCTCCCCTGAGCGGTAGGGTATTCAAACACGGCGTCGCTGGCATCCAGCAGCTACAACTACACGCTTAAAAACCACTGAAGTTTTGGAGCATTTTAGCCTAGATAAGGCGAAAAAATTAAATAAAATAACTTGCAAGGTTTGCAAAGCAGACCTTGTGTATCATGGCAGCACGTTGGTGATGCACGGACATTTGAGGAGAAGGCACATCTGAATGTTGGATGAACAGTTAGACTCGGTAAGATATTAGCTTCATAACAAGCAGACTAATAATAATGCATCAGATTTCATATAGCACTTTATCAGAGACCCTTACATTGGATACATCATTTATTTGCCCACACAGTCACACCTTGGTGGTGGTAAACTACCTTAGTAGTCACAGCTGCCCTGGGTCAGACTGATGGAAATATTGCTGCCAGTTTGTGCCTACAGCCTCTCCGACCATCACCACATAACACTCACAATCATACACTAGTGGAGGACACGCACACTGGCAGTAAGGTGGGTTAAGTGTCTTGCCCAAGAACACAATGGACAGACTTGGAATAGGGGGGAATTGAACTGCCAACCTTCTAGTTATGGGACGACTGCTCTACCTCTTGAGCTACTGCTGCCCCAAATTGCTGACTGTCAATTGGTTTTTGATATGCCTTTTTTTAATTTACTTTTTGTATGAACTAGTCTATCAGCAGCAGAGTTAAATAAAATGTGCATGTCTCATTGAAGTGCCCATAATTCTTGTGTTTATTATCATTGCCACTCAATTAAAGCAACCTCAAGGTAAATTTAAGAAAAAAATCATTATTATCCGATTAGTTGACCAATCGTTTTAATAGTTGGTGACTAGTTCAGTATTACAATAGTCATTAGTTGCAGCCCTATTTGATGTGTCGTATATTTAACATCATACGACACATCATCTCACCTCTGATTGGAGTTACAGATTGTAGTCGAATGAAAATATCACAATTTCTCTGAAATATGAAAGTAGTGGAATAGTTAATGGAGATTTGATGTATTTTCCCTTCTCCTGCAAACCACCAAGGCAGTTTCTTCACCTGTGGTATAGAAATGCACTGTCCTTTAAGTAAGTGGATGAAGCCACTTACAGTACAAGGTTTTTTTCTGATTTGAGAAGCTGTGTCTTAATCCTAGAGTTGCCTGGTTCTGGGAGAAATGTGATTTCAGCGAGAGCACATCGGCTATCTTTGGTTGCATTTGTGATAATAGTCCAGTAGAGATAATAATATGTAGCAATTTGGTAAACTCGTGACGTCGGCTTGTCCTCTCAGGCTTTTTTTTAAATTGCTCTTTCTGAATGGAACAAAATTGGAGCTTGAAAGTAAAATGGTGAATCGGATGATTCATAGTGGTGAGACACGCACACGGTGGCAGCAGCAGCAGGGCGTTTCTAAACATTCAATTTAATCCATTCGACAAAGACTTCAATTCTGGATAATATGAGCTTGATTTAATGAACATCTGAGGCCACAAACCCTCTGCGTTTGGTTCGATCCATTGTTCAGTGCAGCAGCGTATTGTTGGTCGAGTATTGGTTGGTTTCTGTGGATGACAATAACAGACCTAAACAACTAAAGCTTTAGTTTAAGTGATATTTACTGAAGAGAGGACTTGTCACTGAGACTGGCTAAGAGGACAAAAAAAGGTAATGTCTTGAGATCTTCATCTGAACATGTCAAATTAAGATGCAGAGTCACATCCAGAGGTGCAAGGAAGCTAAAAACAGATGTTACACCAGGTTCACAGACACTCAGAGAAGTCTCTAATGACAAAAGAAAACCTCGTCTTATCGCCTCTAAACAAGTAGAAACTGTACTTCTGAAACCAAGAATGAGTGGCAGTGGAGAAAACAAAGACTCAAAACAAAGAGCTTTGTTTCCATCAAGAGAAACCAGGACCACACAGTGACTTCAGACACAGTAACAAAAACACATACTGTACTATGCAGCTCTAATGAAGGCTGTCTGAACAACAAAGAGAATGTGATTAGATTATTTATTGTACCACCCTGGAGTAAAATCAACTTGATCCTAATTGAAGTATGAACGAAGTTTTCTAATTATCCTTGCTGAATAAACAGGCTCCCAGTTGACATGAAAGGGTTGATGCCTGATTAATTCATGACCATATCTATAGCGGTAAATGATTATTTATTTAACACACTGAGCTGATATGAAAGTACTGAAGAGGTCCAACAGAGCAACATGTTGGTGGGTGGATTCAGCACATGTCTCGTTAGGGTGTCCAGGGGATCACTCACAGAGCTGTTGTCTCATTAAAACAGAGGACAAATTTTGAAATCAATTCCTTGCTGTATTCAAAAGTTGTTACCAAAAGAGTTACCAAACATTGTTCAAGACCTTGTGAGTGTAATCCCCATCTGTAACTGCATAACCATCATGACTCCCTTTGAAGCAGAAGAACTGATCGCAGCTGATGGATCAAAAAATACGTTCTGGATTGGTTTAAGATTAAAAGTAATGTTATGAACCGTACACAGAAGCCATTTTTCAGCATCTGCAGAGGAATTTACTCTTTTATAGTGAGGCTGATTGCCTTTTCTTTCCACTGGGGAAGTCAGGCTGAAATGTGATTGGTTGTCTGACTGCCGCGGGATATCAGGGCTAAGACTTGTGCCAGCTCTGAACATGAGCAAGGGTCTCAGGGGGATCAGAGGGAACAGATGTAGACGTGCAGGAACTTTAATAGAGAGAAGCATCTGACAGATGCAGTCTTGAGCTGAACCCAGGCTCGTGGATATGAGGGTTTGATTTTTAGTTTTGATTAAAAAAAAAAGAGAAAGAGTTATGCAACCCAGAGAAGAGGAAAAAGAAGAGGAGAGAGAGGGTGAAGGGGATGTGAGACAGTCTGCACCAGAATGAGAGTGAAAAAAATCTTCATTTAGAGAGTTGTCACTATATGAAAAGAAAGCAGGCAGACAGATGGCAACATATTGCATCACCATATTTTTCAGGTGGACAAGAATGAAATACATGCAGTTTGAATCCTCCTTTGAAAGGTTTTAAAGTATTTAGAGCTAAACTTATGAAACCAGCAGAGCAGAATGCTGCATTTACAGTCCAGGGATGAAAACAAAAAATGCTGTACTGTAACTGCAAATGTTTGATTTCTAATCCAAGCAGAGCAGAGTCAACATGCAGATGCAGTGTGATAAACCTACCAGGCTGATGAATGACAGGGAGAATCCAAAGCTTTCAGTGAAAAGGAGAAATGCCAGAAGAGCCCCTTTGTGAAGATGCTCATACTCTACACACTGATACCTCTGCTTTCCCAGTCTACATCGCTATCTACCCGTGTTGCTGCTGTCTTACTCTTTCTCCGCCTCCCTTACCCCTCCTCTTCCTCCTCTCCTCCTCTCCCTTACCTCTCTTCCCTCAGTGAGGACTCCTCCTCCACATGCACTTTAATGTTCACATTTCACTGCAGGAAAAGCAGTACAGAGCTAGGACAGTAGTGCAGGAGGCTGTGGTGTGAATAATCAAAGCCTAATCAGGAGATTTCCCAAACTAATGACCTTGGAGAAGCATTGATCTTTCCTTTAGAGTCATCAGCACATGCATTCAAATCAGCCAGTTCTCTAATGAAGCACCTTTTAACAGGTCTGAGGCTCTAACATGGCTGACTGTGTGTCCGGGAGTGAAACCATTGTGTTTAAGGAGGGGGTGGTTTGATTTATCCAATCAATCAGGTGGTACACAGGAGTAATTATACCGTTTATCTCTGTGATTCGTTGGTAACGCTGGACGTCACGTTTCAAAATTCAAGCAGGACTGTGACGTCTCTGTGGGCTCCTGAGACTTTTGTCCCCTCTGCAGGCTTTGTGCCTGGAAAATGATCAATCCAACTACTTCTTTCCTATTACATAACAGTCCAACCCATTATTTTTCTTATTCGAAGAGTCTCCTCCTTAGATCTTAAAATAGAAAATGAGAAAAACTTTGATTGATACCTTTCAGACGGTAGCAGTGCAGTGTTTATCTGTAAGACAAATCTCAACTTTAACACATTACATAAATGATGTATTTTCAAGGTTTCTGTCCAGTTTACAGTCTAGGTGAGTTTGGATTGTAAAATTAATATTGCATGATGAATTATCCCTGCAGGATGAGACCAGACCCCCAACATCACGCAGGTGGAGTGTAGACTCTGGTGGTGGTGGTGGTGGTGACCTTGCAGCTAACTGGCACACCTTTAAAAATACTAAATGAGGTAAAAGTCACAACTTTTAACATCCTTTACACTTATGGTTCAAGTGTCTTTGTAGTGATTATGCTTTACTAGCTCTGCCTGATATTTTCAGGACAAGATCTATCATAAGAGAGTCCATGTTGCTAACAGAAATGAATGGTTTTACCTCAGAGTCTACCAGGAAAAGTAGCCTATCAACAGGCAGAAGTAAAAGATGTCAGAATTCTTTTGCACCGATTGGTTTGATATGATATGAGTCATCATTTTGTCCCTGGCTTTGCTTTTTCTGTTGAGAATTAACTAAAGCTTTGGAGTTTTGACCAATCAGAATCAAGTATTTAGCCACGCATAAGCACAATTATAAAACCCATTCAACATGGCGTCTTAGATGCAGGTATTTACTCATATTCTCAAAGGGACCTCGGGGTCTCTGCTGCAATACAGCAGCTTGTGTATATCCATAAACACGGTGAATAAATGATCAAACCCAGAGAGTCAAAAACATAACATGCTTGAGGTGAATAAAAAGATCAGAAGCGGTTATTGCTGAGCGGATGATCTGAGAGTAAACAAGTGGAAAAGGATGAGTCATGTAAGAGGAAAAGGCAGACAGTAAACGGAGTCATCAATTTCAGATTAATCTGAGTCATGACCGTGTGCTTAACAAAAGCCTCTGAATGACATAGTTTGTAAGTGTGTTTTGTACATGTAAACAAACCTGCTGTTATTTATTCATTTTTTTTCATTTGACTAAGCATATTCATCCCATTTACTTAATTGGACTTTTACCTCAGTGATTTACTCTCAGATGGACTCATCCTCATCATCTCCAGCGTACAGAGAATATTTAGTCTAATTAACAGAATCCAGCTGTGCCTGCTCTCTCTGGGACCCCCTGGTTGGCTGAGAGTCCTGGTTTAGATATCCTGCAGATGCGACCTTGTGACCTCCAGTCTGACACGTTCCTGTCCGAAAAGCAAACTAAGGCGTGCTGTCTAAGCTGCTGCCAGTTATCATCCATCAACCTAACAGCATGACACTGGGTCAGACAGAACAGCAGGGCTGACTATCATTTTGATGCCGAGAGGCACCTGCAGAGAGAAAAACATGTTATTTTTCATGTCAATTACTTAACACTACGATCATATATTCTGCTTCCTGTTGCCGTGTTTTCCGTCACTGCTCCATCATTATTCAGAGGTTTTTCACTCTTCTTAATCTACTCCTGCCAACAGGTTGATAAAATCAATATTATTCCCAACAACAGGATGATGAATTGTGTGTAATCATGTCTTTAATTTGATAGTCAACAAAGTTATCAGGTTGCTATCAGCTCAGGTAAAATCCATCTTTGTGTTTATTCCGTCAGTAACTGGACCGTCTTTTTTTTTAAATGCTGCGTGTGATGAAATTTTCAACAGCTGGGTCTGGACAATGATAGATTCTGCCCTCGGCGTACAGCAAATTAACATTCAGAAATACCTCTGGGGTGTTGTTTTGTGTGAACGTTTCCATGGCAACCCCAGGATGGATCACTTGGAAAGGATGGTGAGAACACAAGAATTGATTTCCACACTGAACGCGGGGAGTAGCACAACATTATACATACTTTACATGGAAAATGCACCGAGATATAGAGCAGCAGGTGAACAGGAGCAGAGGACACGTCGTCTTCTAACTTATACTTCAAAGATTCCTCTGAAGATTTCAACACATCCATGACATTGTTTCCTGGCAACAAGTTACTCAGATAAAATCAATTGATCCAGACTTCCTTATGAATTTTAACCCGGTCTGTGAATTAAGGGTTATAACAACATCATTTATCTCCATTTTACATCCATTTAACACTAAAGACATTTACTTTATCTCTCCTCAGAGAATATCCTGATGAGAGCTGGGACATGCTGGGGCATGCTGTGACACTGTTACTGAGCTGATAAAAGCACAATGAAGACAATCCAGGCAGTGTGCTCACGGTCTGAGAGAATACCAGCCAGAGCGAGCAAGCAATAAAAATCCTGTGAACTAAAAGCATGAGAACAAACTCAGACTCTTTAAATCAATGAAAAATCAACATCTGCTAAAGGATGCCTGTTTTTTCCAGACTCAGTTACCTCTCATCAATTCGCCTCCTGCTGCACGGTGAAAAAAATGAGCCTCAGTATAGATGTTTTACAGTTAGAATCAATTACATTGTGAGTAGGAGGTTTGCACTGGATCTTGCTTTATTGGTTCTCTCTTAAGGAATCAGATTAATCATATCATGTCCTTAGAGGAAATGAGAGATGTATGGGAGGTTAAACACATGCTTGTGATCAATAGAGTGTTTACAACCTGAATAATCCGGAGTGCACTCACTGGTGAGAGGAAGCAGAGGAGAGCCTACTCTGCAGAAAAGGATCATTCAGAGGCAGAGATGGTCAAACATACTCTAATCTACTACATAATTAAAAAACAACAACTCAACAGAGCAATGCAATAAAATTTAACTACCGCTCTGCCTCTTTTTCTTCATTCATCCCTCTTTTACTTAGTCATCTCTTTCAACACCCCCTTATTCCAGATGCAGACAGCAGATGGCTGTTTATCATGACTGGTTCAGTTTCAGCTCATGGTTGGTTAGACTTAACTGATAATTTCTTTATTCTATAGGTTTAAAGCAGGAAACTTGGTGTCTAAGAATATAGGCTGCAAGTGTACTCTTGGATGCTGCTGTTGTAAATAAAACATTTATAAACCTTTATAAAATGCCCTCTCTGCTGCCCTTTCTATGGCTGCTTTTATAGAGAATAAAACATGACAGAGTCCTCTGCCCCCCTCACCTGTGCAGTACATATTTTCAAAAGATCTCCCTTGCAATGATCCCTGCAATAATATGTGAGTGTGATAATTATGGATTGACAATTTTAATCATTTTTTTTCTTTAGGGGGGTTATCTATCTCTAAGTTTTGCATAAAAACTCCCAAAAATGCAGGGAATAAAATACTGCATTCTGCCAGAATCCCCTTGAGTTATCTGTGCCATGATCTTTAAATGACCCCAACACTGTGGCAAAGGTTAGAAAACGGTTCTAACCCTGCAACCTCCAGGCTACCTACGGTCCATGGTTGCCGGATTTAAAACTTTTACTAGCTGCAGTGAGCTCTGTTTTGAAACTACCTTAAGACCAGTGAGAAAGAGAAGTAAAGAACTAAAAACTGGTCTACTAATAATAATAATAATAATTCATTTTATTTGTACAGCGCTTTTAAAAACACTCAAAGACGCTTTACATAGTACGTAAAATTCAAGATAATAAAACAAAGACATGAAAACAGTAAGATAAGCAAAACAGTTAAATATTAAAAGCAATTTTGAATAAGTGAGTTTTTAAAAGGGATTTAAAAGTAGTGGGGTCAGGGCAGTGTCTGATGGAGGGAGGTAGGGAGTTCCAGAGGGTAGGGGCAGCTGTGGAGAATGACCGATCCCCACCGGTTCGGTGCTTGGGCCGTGACAATGGGGTGAGGAGATGGGCAGAGGAGGAACGGAGGTTACGGGGGGGTGCATGAGGCTGGAGTAGGTTGGTGAGATAAGAAGGGGCTTGATGATGAAGGGCTTTGTGGGTGAGAAGGAGGATCTTGAACGTGATGCGTTGGTTGATGGGGAGCCAGTGTAGACGGAGGAGGATGGGGGTGATGTGGTCTCGTGAACGGGTGTGGGTAAGGAGGCGGGCGGCAGAATTCTGGACTATCTGTAGTTTGTTGAGGAGTTTAGAGGGTAGACTGTACAGGAGGCTGTTGCAGTAATCTAACCTTGAGGTGATGAAGGCGTGGACCAGGTACTAGAAACAGATATGGCTGCAGAAGTAGTTGACACAACCACATTATTAAGCAAATTTGAGGGAAGTTCCATCCATCCATCCATCCATCCATCCAAGCTCTTATAATGTCAATGTTAGTGTGCACTTGACAGAGAATTTTGTCATCAGAACACTTTTTTTTTTTTTTTTTGCACTGCTTTGACATGAATCACGTGTTCTCCTTCTGCTTATGGGGCACTGATCGGCTAGTCAGGCCTGTGACAAAGGGGTTAAACAGACATAAATTTCAGCAACAATACTGACCATTATGACACAGTAATGGCTGTGAAGTTTATTTCAGCTCAGTCTTCCCCTCAATTGCACACAGAGTGTTTCGACTGGGTAAAACTGTATTATTTTGCAGTAATAATTCAGTGAGAGCCAAAATGTACTTTTAAAATGATTTCGCTAGGGTAGCAGTAGCTCTCTTAAGGTTATGAGTGTGGAATCATAGTCTACATGACCGCACCAGTGGGCTTTGATTCTTGCAGGTGTTCACTTGGATCTACACTGACTGCATGTCATCGCTGCTGTCAAAATCACCCTTTTTTCTTGGCTCTGCTATATTCTGTCCCTTTGAAACCCGTGGACCCAAACAGTTGATCAGTGCTCTGCAGGTAAAAGACACTGTAGCCAATGGAGATTGTTGCCATCAATCATTCAGAATTGATCCATAGAGCACTTCTCACACCATGATAATTGAACACAAAGTGAGGAAACTCTGCATGTAGAATAAATTGTTAAAACTCAAGATTGGTTAGTAAAAAAATGGATCATAGTAGATGTACAGAGTGGCAAAAACATGGACAGAATAAAATAGAGAAAGGTTTCCCTTCAGTTTTTAGTTGAATGCAACTCTGAGTAAAAGAGACATTAATACACCTCTCCTTTAGCAGCCAGTACAGCTAATCAACAGCTGATATATAGTTCTCAGACCGCGTGTGACACCTCCCCTCGGTCCGGGTCTTGTGTGCCTCCCGGCAGACATCAATTTATCCAATCCCTGTGAAGTAACACATTTTTCATTATTTCTGACTGTGCCACACACTCACCCAGATTTACACAATACAGATTGGAGGTGACAAAAGTTAGAGGGGCCATAGTGAGATCGCTCACCTCATCTAAAGCCTTTGGGCAGCCTGTGTGGTAGTTTAAAAGGCTGAATCAGAACTCGCTATTCAAGGACCGTTCCAGTGTGAGTCAAAAGCCAAAGTTTATTTTCAAGTCAGACTTTGAAAAATGGTTCCTACATATGTTGAATAATAATAAGAGGACAAGAATAAGTGATGAAAAACATGTACAGTGTCCAGCATAAGTCAGTACAGCCATACATTAAAAGTAATGTATTGCTTAATATCTAGATGAGAAAAAGTACAGTTTCTAAAGTTTGGACAAAGCTGAGTTTAACATAAAATTTTATTAACCATGAGATGAAAATAAGGGTGATATGGTGACTAAAATTTAGCTTTGCTCGCGGAACTTTGATTGGGGTGTACTCATTTTTGCATCCTGATTTTAAATAGAAAAATATACTTTTTTGTATGCAACTTAAAAAAAATCTTCTGCAATCAATGGCCTACATTTGGTGGAGTATTTTGTTGTATAGTCTGACATAGAAAATTTTGATTTTGAAAGGAAACTAAAGGTTTTCTGACAACTCTGAAGGGGTGTAATCATTTAAGGTGAGCACTGTATATTGAAGGAGATGCTGTCTATTTCATTTCAAGAGACAGTGAGTGGTGTACTGTAAAATTCTCATCTTTTCTTTTTATTTTATTTTAGACTAAATCCTTCAAAACAACCAGGACACTCCTCAGATATCTGTTAAATTAATAGCAAGAAAGAAAAGTAAGAAATGCTACCATACTCACATTTTCAGGTAATACAGCGCACGTGATGAACTACACTGGCTGTGCTCTTTTTGTCTTTCCTATGATGGCAAACTGAATGTGAAAGAGGACATTAAGTAGATGTTAAATGAACATGAAGCTGGAGCCCATCTATCATCCAAGGTCTAATTTAATAAAGAAAGCCCTTCAGTGGGCTCTGGGACTGTAAGTCAGTCAAAGGATAGTCTGATGAAATTTTAATCAAGGAACTTTCCAGATTTCGCATCATCAGACAACTTCTGTCACTTCTATTCCTGAAGCAAAAATTGCTGATGAAATACTTACGTACTGTGTTGCAAAAATGCCCCCAAGGGTCAGCCCAGGTCTCTGCTTTCAACTGTATATCATTATCCCCTTGTTGTCATAGAAACCATTGCAGATGAGGCTGTGTCTGTTCTAAAGGGTTCGGTAAGATAGATGTATCTTGGGGTGTGCTCGGTGTGCTGCTGTCTTCCTGTGAGTCAGGGTCTTTTTTTAGGTACAAAATAAATGTGGCTACGCACATCCTTTGTAAACAGACCTCCATTCCCAGAGTGACTTTTTCTATTTGTGCAGCTGCTGAAGGTGCCTGAGATGACAATAATTCAACTCTGCAGAATTTCTGCGGTGCCTCTCTCTCAAAACTAAAAGTCGAGATGTAGTAGATGATACAAGTCCATTTTGTACTCTCTCTGGTGCTCAGACTCCTGGGGTATGGTATCATCCAATGGACAGGGGGTGATGGCAGCCATTAGGATTAAAGCTTTATCGGTCCCTGAGCAATCTGTTCTCATGTGCTGCAATAAAACAGTTATTTTCAACACTTCTCATTTTCACTGGGCATTTTTCTTTTCTTCAATCTAGTTTGAGCTAATGGCTCTAAAGCTACAATTATATGGATTTTTCAGCACCTTAAAAAGCCTGAGTGAGTTACTCTATTTGCTGTCATTACAGGTAAATTAGTTTTGATCTGGTATAATCATACATACAGCTACTGATCAAATGATGCTCCACTTCAGGGGAATTCATCAGAAATCTCAATTGGCTGACTGACTGAGTTAATTGGCATGGAAAGGAAGTGTTCATTACCCTCAAATAGCACACACCACTTCAGAGGAAACATCATCAAAACAACAGATGAAAAGCTCTCACAATGCCCTGGATCTATGATTGCTTCTGCATAATTAAGATGAGGGGAATAAGAAAGACCAACAAGGATTCCACCTCTATCTTTAAGGAGAACACAATATGATTTCTAAAACACCTTCCATAACAATCCCCTTTTTGCTATTACTTAGTCAGAAATATGAAGTCATTCTTGCTCATAGCATCACTGATTCAGAGCTGCCAATATAGCAGTCCTTTCAGATAGCTGCTAGGAACATCGTGAACTGACAGACTCCTCTGAAGAGTCTGTCCTTGGCCTCAGTCAGAATATTTCATTAGAGTTTTTTTATTTTTTTTTATACCCTATATTCTCACATATAGGAGAGTTGTGAGAATCATGTACAATGATTTCTCCAGTGCCTTCAACTCCATACAACCTGTCCCTGAGAGAAACAGGCTGCAACACAAAGGACTGGACCACCACCTCGCATCTTGGCTGCTGGATTATCTGATTTCTACAGTACAGGGGTCCTTCAGGGGACAGTTTTTCAAGTTTTCCTCGGACGACTCCGACGCCATTGTTGGCCTCATCCCCAAGAGGGAGTACGGAGAACTGAACCTGAGTTGTGTGGACTGGTGTCAGTGGAACCTTCTTCAAATCAAAAAAACAAGGAGCTGGTGGTAGATTTCCACAGGCACAGACCCACCCCTCCCACACCAGTGAACATTCAGGGGAAGAACATTGAGATTGTAGACTCCTACAAGTACCTGGGTGTTAACCTGAACAATAACTCCACCTACTGTGGGAAATGAGGTCCTTTGGTGTGTAGGGACCACTAATGAGGACCTTATGTGACTCTGTCTCTCACGAGTGCAGACAGGAACAGACTGCACAAACTAGTAAGGAAGGCCAGCTCTCTCCTGGGTTGCCCTCTGGACCCTATAGACGTGGACAGATGGTTGATGGCTAAGCTACCTCCCCTCATGGACAATGTGTCCCACCCCCTGCAGAGTACTGTAACAGCAGTGGGGAGCTCCTTCAGTGACAGACTTCTTCACCCGTGATGTGTGACAGATAGATACCATAGGTCCTTCCATCCTGCTGCAGTCAGACTTTTGAACCAGATCTGCTCCCAGTAGTCCAGGTTTTTTAGCACAACTAACAGACAATAACTCAATGTTACCCCAATGTGCAATTTTGACAGTCCAGATATTCATTACAATTGCAAATACCTACATTTTTCTCAGGTATAATACCTCAAATAATAACATGTCCAGTTCTTTATTAACTTTTTTTTATATAGGTCCAAGTCAACTTTATATAATTATCTGTGCATTGTGTCCATGATGAGTGTACCTATTCCTCTATGTTTGCTATGCTGATCCTTTGCTGCTGTTAAGACTTTATGTTTCCCCACCATGGGATATATAAAGGTTTATCTTGTTTTATCTTACATAAATAGGATAGCCTTAAAAAGGAGTATGAGGTTTTTTTTTTTCTTACAAAGTTACAACCCAATTCATGGGATAAATTTCAAAAGTCTGTCTGTCTAAGCCCCGTGAAGGCTGTACTCTTTTGTGTTTATGCTCTTTTGTTCGTGAATTGAGACAGTTTGTGCTATCACGTACAAGTAGGCGCAAAAAGATAGTAGAGAAAATGAGAAGATAAAAATGTGGGTTTTTGAAAAGGGAAAAAAAAACTGGACTTAAAATGATTCTATTAACCATAATTTACTGCAGAGTTCATCAATAGGTCTGAGGTGATTCCTACACTAAAGTAGTGCCCTGAAGGCTTTTGTAATTTTGTTTTACTCCTCACATCAGTCTGATTAGCTGCACCTACAAGCTAAGGTTGTTAGCTTCAACTCAAAGTAAACTTTCTTGTAAGAAAAAAGTTTGGTGGTGTCATTATTGTCTCCCAGTAATGAGCAGACTTAGAGGGACAATCCAGTTTAAAATTAAGTAAGTCAAACACACCGTAACACCAAGTTAGATTCAATTCGGGGACTGTCCCCGGAAATCAGGGACATCTGGTCACCTTACTGCAGACACAGTAGTTCTTCTGCCTTAGCATCCCCATTTGATTGCATTTCCATGAGGAAATAATCATAAATCTTCTTCCTTGAGCTGTGAAACTTTGCTACACACGGTGATCGACTCGTCAGGGCTCCACAAACAAGCGGATGCTGGAGGAGAGTGGGTAAGTTGTGTTTAGTCTCTTTGCTAAAGAAACCAGGCAAAGCTAAAAAGATGTTTGATGGCTAGTACTATGGCTGGGACCCTATATGTACTGTTAATGAAGTTAGGTGCTGTTCTGAACATTATTTGTGGCTTTAGAGTGGCTGTGGAGAGTTGGTATAACTAAAGAAGGCAAGCAGTCGGCAACATCCATCTCTTGTGGGGGTGTCTAACTTGGTATTACGGTGTGTTTGACCATAACTTGACCTTTAAGTGATGGCCATAACAGTTGACCAAAAGGTACAAAACAGAATTCATTTTAATTAATTTAATTAATTTCAATCACATCAAAGTAAATGGCCTAATGCTGACATTCTAAAAAAGAAAGACTACAGTGTTATTCTGTTCCTGCATGTTGTACCAAGCAAGCCAATTTTTATGGAGCAATTTTGGGTCCAAAGAGGAATGGAGTAATTGTGCATGCAGATGTAAACAGGAACAATAAAATCGAAGACAAATATGTCCACAGTTATATCTTCCATTGCAGAGTTTTACTGACCATCCTGAGGGATGCTGGGTAATTCTGAGGCTACAAGAAAGAAATGATCCCTGAGGCATCCAAGTCTAATGTGAGATTTGTGCACCTTTAGTGTTAAATAGAATGGGAGAGAAAACAGTCTCCGCGTTTTTATGGCTTTCAGTGTGTTAATGTCCTTATTTTTAAGGACATTATTTTTTTATAAGCAGGTATAAGAAGTTTTAGCTATTCCAGTATACTAAAATACTCTGAGGACTACACTTCCTGTACTGTGCTAATCAGCTGTTGTCAGAGTGATGAAGTGAGACGGCTGTCACATCTGTTAGCAGCGTTATGAGACCTTCTAGCATGGGAACATTTAGCTCTACTTTTCTGCAGTTGCTTTTAACACAACTGCACAGATTTCACGCTTTGACACCTTCGAGTTAAAAGGGTTACTTCAGCTGGCCAGAGGTCTCAATGCTTGGTTGCGTCTGCTGTAAATGAAAAGAAGAAAACACCCTCACGCTACCTCTGGTTTCTACACCAATGCTTAAGCAACAACATGAAGATACTCGAGATAATGTATAACTCTATATTTACCGTTTTCTCTGCATTAGTGAATTTATCCAGCCCGTAATTTTGAACCTGCATTGTGCCTGGTGGAGCGTCTCACTCCTCGACTGTGTCTCAATGAACTGAACTGGCTTCGTATTGATCTGGTTGCAGTGTGGAGCCAGATCCTTCCCCGTGTCCTTGGACTCATTGAACTACAGGTTCTGTGGTGATGAAATGAGGAGCTGGGGTAATAACTTGTGGCAGTACTGAGCCAAAGAGGAAAAGAAAATGATGACCTCGCTGATTGAACCTGAAATAAAAAATTGTCATTACTCATAAGTGACTCAGTGTGTCTGCTTTTGATGTTAATCCATATCTCCAAATTTGACCGGATAGAGGGAACACAGAAAAGAAATTCAACATTTGACTTTCATTATAGCTGCAGCATCTGTAGTCATTTCTGTGTGCAGCTCTTGCAAGAATCAGATTCAGTTTGTTTGTGTACTATCAATAGATGTGCTGCCACGTGTAAATTATACTCCAACCTTGAAACATCATGTGAGTGATAATGTAAAGCATGCAGGCCCTTGTGAGGATTTGAACCCTTTCAGCGTAAATTAGAGCCACACATGAAGCAGAGGGGGTCACTCTCTCTCAGTCAAAGCCACATAATCACTTTCATCCCCTCCTATACATCCTCAGAGATTGAAACTGAATGTTTGCCAGGGTATCAAGAGGCAGAGGTGAAATGTGCTAGACTTCTTACTGCAAATTGATTTGACGTGACGTAAGTGAGGTGTGGGGTAAGGTGTCCCTGGTGCTGCTTTTGTTGCTGAGAATAAAGAAACCATTGTTGTGTGGTATTGAGACTGAAGAAGAAGAAGAAGAAGAAGAAGAAGAAGAAGAAGAAGAAGAAGAAAGTATTTAACAAAGATAGGGTGGTAAAGTTGTTTATCAGCAGGATTTGTCACTAATTGTTTAAAACCTTGATAACCGCTAACAAGAAAAACACCATGGAAAAAAATGGATAGATCAAATTACCCCTATCATTTCAAATCAACTCATAGAAAAGGGTTCAGACACATTTTACTTCAGCTCGTTGAAAGACTAGTTGTTTCTTTTAGCATGTGAGGTTATTAGGCTAAATATCACAACAATGGTTCCTGTCTTGCAATCGAGGCAACTGCAGTAAAGCTGGTGAGTGCTTCTCTCAGATATTACAAAGACATGAGTAATAGTGATAACAGCCACAGTTGTGTCCATTGTCTAAAACTTCCTACGAGACAAAATTCTTTTTTCATGTTCTTGCAGAGGACCCGATCACCTAGATTCATTGAATTATTAATGAAAATGTTCAGTTTAATATGAATACTGATTGACAGGCAGGTTTGAAATATTCCTGCAGAACTTCTGCTCCTCTTTTCTAACATGAACTGTGATAAAAATGTAATTTAAATAATAACTACAACAGTGTGCTCATGTTTAACTTTGCTGTTTCTTAAAATATTTGCTTTGATGTTTGTAATGCTAATAACTGTGGATTCAGAAAGACTTTTCTTTATCACCTTCACACATATCAATTTTAATTTTAGGAAGTCCTCTTTGAGTCAATGTCTGAGTTTGAGTCCATCCTCCTTTCAGCTTCAGCTTTTTTACAGATGCTGTGATATTTTCCTCCAGAATTTGCTTGTATTTAATGGAATCCATTCTTCCCTCCACTCAAGCAATGTTTCCTGTCCCATTGGCTGCAACACAACCCCAAAGCGTGATGGATCCACCCCCATATTTCACAGTTGGCAAGGTGTTCTTTTCATGAAAAGCTGTTCCTTTTTTTTCTCCAAACATACCTTTGCTTATTGTGGCCATAGAGTTCTATTTTAACTTTATCAGTCCACAGCACTTCTTTCCAAGTCATCAGGCTTCTCTAGATGTTCTGTTGCATATTTTTGTCGTTGTATTTTATGATGAGGATGCAGGAAAGGTTTTCTTCTGCAGACTCTTCTATGAAGGTCTTGTTTGTTCAAACATCGCCGCACAGTGGAAGGGTGCACCACCACTCCTGCGTCTGCTAAATATTCTTGCAGGTCTTTTGAAGTCAAATGTGGGTTTTGATTTACTTTCCTGACCAGCAAACGAGCTGTTCTCTCTGAGATTTTACTTTGTCTTCCAGATCTAATCTTGACCTCCACAGTTCCCCTCACCTGCCATCTCTTAATTATACCTCACACTGTGGATTAGGCTTTGCTATCTTCTTGTAGCCCTCCCCTGCATTGTAGGCATAAATAACTTTCATTTTTTTCTGTCTTACACAGCTTCTTAGAGGAACCCATGGTTGCTGGATGAATGCACAAGGTTTGTGGAGTTGAAACCCCTTAAATTGGCACCAGCTGGTGCTCCCTGATGAAAATTGTTGACACCTGCTTTAGGACTAACGAGCTGGTGAAAGTCTGAGGCTGTGTCCGAAATGAATCACTCAATCCCTAACCCCTGACCCCCATATGGGGTTTTACTATATAGTTGACTATGTAGTGAACTCAATTACCGGAGGTTTTGGACACTACATGGCATGACGCAATGCATGATGGGATGCCCGCCACCGTTGAGTGACCATCAGATGGTTACTACATTTTGCAATGCTTTATGGGAAATTTTGAGTCACCTATATTAGGCACTGGAATTGATCACTGAGGTTTCAGATACCCCTCAAAATGGCGCTAACCCCCATGTAGTCACCTATATAGGGGTTAGGGATCCATTTCGGACTCAGCCTGAGCTTCTAAAAAAAATCTTTAAAGACCAGACACTTTAAAGCTCTCAGGGTGCCCTGACATTTGCACATGCTAAAAAGATGATTTTTATTTTTGTAATTTTGTACTTTTTATAAAATAAAAAGTAACTATGCATTTATGATTTCTGTTAATATTGTCTTTTTTTCCTATTTACCAGAGAGACTATAAATATCAAGGTTAATTTTTTGGGAAATAAACTATGCTTTTTTTAAAGGGGTGCTCTGACTTTCACTCACAACTGTATATTATTCTGTCCCCCCCCCCCCCTTTTTTTTTTTACCAGTGTAGAACAATAAAAACTGGATGTTGTAGTGCTTTCAGGGGCCATTCGAGTGTCAGTTGGGGACAGTAAAACCTGCCAGCGTCAGATGGCAGAGATGTTTGGACAAAAAAAAGTTGCTCTATGGTTACCTTTTCTAAAATCAAGGATCAATTGAATTTTTTTCACCTGCAATAAATTTGTATGTGCTGAGTTAAACAAAAGTACTCCACATAATCATTGACTGAGCCACTCAACGCTTATCTCAATGCCACCCTGGACTTGAGGGACAAACATCTTTTGAAACTCTTAACAACAGTGTAAAGCGCCTGTGAGGAGTTTTTGTTCATGTTAGTGAAATTCAAGCAAACAAGACCATCAGTGACAAGGCTGACCACTTTTGTATTGTATTATTGCTGCCTGCACAAGATGCAGTCTGACCGGTTTTGTGCTTGTCCTCCACTTGTCAGTTGTCATGACTGCTTACTAGAATAAGGAGAAGAGAGAATTGCACTGCGAGAGCTTTTCCTGACCAGCCCATCCCACTTCCATTACACCAGGAGGGTCAAGTACACTTAAAACTTAATCATACCCATTGAAGAGCAGAGCTCATACAGAGCCTCTGGCTTCCACCGTTTAGAAGGCTATTGTAACATTTCCACTAGCTTCATCCGTAAAAATATCCAAAACATAAGTGGTGCTTAAGGTTTTTGGAACAGGAGCTGAAAAATATTCACACTCCTCGAACTGAATAGCATGTGTCTTCTTGTTCCTCTTTTCAAATTACCAAATGAAGGTGTTTTTTCTGGAAAAAAGCAAAGCAAAACCACATGACATTTAGTGAGATGAGGGAAAACAGTTCAGGCCAGTTCAGTTTAAGTTTGGCTTTTACTCTATGTGCTATCAGCTGGACATCAGCTATCCCCTCCTCTCTCACTGCTGTGGTGGTTATCAGTTATGTAAATCTGTCACAAGATTCATGTGAAAATGTGGATTTCAGCTGTTGATGATGAATCTTTTATGGACTTGAATCTTTTCAGCCGGCTGTTTGCCGCCTCTCTTGTTTACACTGACACACATTCTGGTCCACTCTCATGTTCTCCTCCTGTGTCGTGGGTTGACATTCGTGATAACAGGAGATTGGTGCAGGTGTCTGTGTCTTCAGTCCCAGCTACTTGGTCATAAGAAATGCAGCCAGGAAACAGACTTGACCTTTCGTAGCTGTTACATAATCATGATCAATAATTCAGCAGATATCACAGGACAGTGGAAAAGAAACTACAGAGTAATCAACTTTGTAGGACCTGCGCTCAACCAAGAAGCAGCAAAGTCTGGTTTCTCTGAATTTTGTGCATGATTTTTTTCTATTTTTTCATATTTTTGGGATATTTTGTCCACCACTGATGGATGTTTCATTAAGACGGAATAATCTTGAGAACAACATTCGATTCCAGCAGACATCTGGAGCTGTTTTTGAGGTGCCGTGCTGGTGTAAAGGTGAAGGTAAAATTGAAGGCTAGGAAATGGAGATACAAACCCTTTCTTTCATCAGTTATCATGGGAAACATCAATTCCCTGCCCAACAAAAGCCACAAGATTGAGGTATTGGTAACAACTGAGAAAGCATACTGTGAGTGCAGTCTCCTGTCTTTTACTGAAACCTGGTTGAATCAAAACAACTGGGACTCCACTGTGGATCTACCTAGCTTCACTCTTATAAGGTCAGACAGAGTGGCTAAAGCTTGTGGCAAGAAGAAAGGAGGAGGTCTGGCTTATTTGTCAACCAAAGATGATGTAACTCTCCACACATACTGAAGCTGTCAAGGAGAACTTGTGTTGTCAAGATATTGAACTGTTGGCGGTTGCCCTTTGGCCGTATTATGTTCCAAGAGAGTTCAGTCGTATTGTGACAATACTTGTTTACATCCCATCCAAGGCAACGGCTAAAGTTCCTCGAATGTTCACCATGAAATGATGGCTGGATACAGACTGAACATGGTGCCAAACTGGTGGAAAAAGCTTTCTCTGTGGTTGGAATCAAGTTGGACTCACTGGAGGATGTGTTAGAGAGACGCACACTGAGGAAGGTGGAGGCTATTCTGAAGAACATGGATCATTCACTTCAAAACACCTTGATGGACCAAAAGAACAACAGGGGTGGACGGCTCCTCTCTCTTCGCTGCGGGGTGGAAAGAATCAGAAGATCTTTTGTACCCACAGCCATCAGACTTCTTAATTCTTCTATAAATAGTAGATGACATGAGATTCAAGACAAACAAATTTCCCACACTAGTGACCCAATTTTACTACATGGCAGCTTAAACTGGGCGAATGTTGATCACATTTTTCAGTTTGATCAAATACCAAAGCTTTGAGCCTTGAATTTTTCAAATGCTTAAAAAAGGATATGAAAAACTACATGGCTCATGTTTGAAATATCACTGTGACTATGTTGATTGGTTCATTTTCCCCCTGTTCAGTAATTTGTCCCACTTCAGTTAGAACATCACTCAATTTCTCCCAAAGTCGATGAGAAAGCCTTGAGGTATGCTTAAATGAACTCAAACAACACAAGGGGGGATCATGCCCCCATTCATCAGACTCTTGTTTGGCTTGCTGAGGAGGTGCTGCTTTGTCTCTGAGATCAGGTGCATGAAAGCTTCTGCCTGAACAAGCTTTACTACAACCTGGACCATAACCTTCAGAGACGGGAGAACTGCACAGGAGAGCTGACAGCTGATGATTTAAATAGACCTTTTTATTTTGATCCTCTGTATAAACCCGTTCTACTTTAACTATAAGACCTTTTGTAAGAATTCTGCATTTTCAGGTACCTGACGGCCACCCTGCATGCCTGTTGGTATGGTCCATTACAGAGCAGATGGATTTCCGTGAAATGATCATAAAAAAAACAAAAAAAAAACTTGCGTCACAGCAGGGAACAAAGAAGTTGTGCAGAAATCTGATGGTATTACATTTCACTGAAAGCTCCCTTATAAACAGCAATTAGCAACAAGTGTGTGTTGATGCATTAGTACAATGTGACATAATGAGTTGCCACATCTGGTAGAATCTCTCCTAATTGCTCATGACGAAATAGAGAGGAAGTAAAACTGATTCAGCCGAGTTAGATAAAGGGCCTTCGTCATCTTTCTAAAGCTTTTAGCTCTTGAGGTAAATTACTTTCTACATGAATATGCAAATTCATGCAGCAGGGTGCAACAACAGATCAGATTATCCGATGCATCATTTTGTTCAGCTGCAGGGCTCGCTCAGAATACTTTCAATGAACTTCACAGACAACAAAAGAATACAATGTCACTCAACAGCATTGACAACTGCTCTCCAAACAGAGGCAGCTGCATCAGGGGCATCAGATTTTATTATTTCATGACTCACAGCGACTGTAGCAGTTTGAAGAGCTCCTCTCTCAGCAGCTGTCTACCTTCTATTTGAGCTTATTAAATGTTATTATGTAAATGGATTGGCCAGTTCGTGTCACATTCATCACAACACTCATCTCACTAATCCTGTCATGTTTTTTCACACTCACATGAAACATCCCAGTGGAGTTTGACATTCTCTCATTTTCATATAAAGAGGATTTTGCATTGCAGTGATGTTTTTCAAATATTATTAATATTGATATCAGATAAATAAGAAAAATTGTGGAGGATTTCTCTTACAAACAACTGTGATATAAGCCTCTAAACCTGCTGTGACATATCGAACATCATCATGGAGTCTTACTGCCCTCTGCTGTACAAACCAGGAAAAGCTCCTACAAGTACATTTTTCATTTTTATCCACTTTATTTTTCTCAATATTTTTTAAAGAAATTCCGCAGCACATGAATGTTCAAATTAAAATGTTTCAAATTCAACCGCTTTAAAAATTTTAATTTGACCAAACACTGAACAAAACTTAAAATGTATTCTATTCAGAGGCACTAAATTGGCTTAGCTATTGATTGTGCTCTCTTTATAGAGGAAGTACTCCTTAATATAAATAAAATAAATATATATATAAATATGCGAGTACAGCTGGCTCAATTAAACCTGTGATCCTCATTCCACACTCTTTTTTTCCTATTTCCTGCTCTACCCACTGTGCCAGCCTCTCAATGAAGGCATGGACGTAAACATTAAACAAGGGGCAAATTATTTTAAATAACCAGTAAGGATAAGATATCATTATGTAATGAGGAATTAGAACTTAAACTGTTGAATAATAGCTCACCTCTGAATTAAATTATGGACATCTAACTGACTGGACCTGACAAAGTAGCTACTTCTCATATGTGGTTGTCAGGAATTACATTGAGACCTCTGACAGGTGAAGTCAGAAACACTGATACTGCATTTACCACAGACTGTATGGACAACTTGGTTCTGCCTTCTGCCATTATATGAATTTGAAGCCGAACTGCTCTCGGTATTTACGGGATTTTCTCAACTTCCCGGAACCACCACTGGTGCAGAAGCGTTGTGCGCATTTCACCACTTGCACAGTAGCATTGTACGTATTCGGCAGGCGAGTCGCTGTGATGACGCTCGGCTCAAACAGCGTATCCCCTGGGTAAGCTATGTAAACTTTGTAAGCCCATAGGCTGTATAAAGTGTCAATCATAGAAACCCCCAATAACTTTTAAAAATGGAGCTGTACAGAAAAAAAGAGAACTTGAACACAAACCAGTCTTACAGTAACTACATGTCAACATCGCAAGCAGGGGGGAGAAAAAAATGATATTCTGCGTAATGAATCTATAAAGTTTGTCCACAGCTCCATATGGATTGCTGAAGGAGGCGAGATTTATGACCTATACTGCAGCCCATCTTTAGAGGGTGCTGTTCTCGGAGTGGCTTCACCCAGCGAGGAGGCAGACGGCGTCCATTCTATATACAGTCTATGGTGTTTACATTGTCGGCTGGTTGGGACAGTAAATGGACTGTATTCATACAGTGTTTCTCTTAGTCTAGTCAGAGCTTTCATGGCACTTTTACATCACACGTCACATTCATCCATTCACCTTACGTTCATACACCGATGGCAGAGGCTGCTAAGCAATGTGCTCATTACTGTTCACTAGTTGCACACTGATACAAGAACCGGCAGAACCTGGGATCAAACCCCCAACCCTCAGATTAAAAGACTCTACCGCTGAGCCCTAGCCATTTTGTCTATGAATAAAAAAGCTAAAAAGTTAAACAAGTTTATGAATGTGAGACACCTAGACAGAGGTCAGACCATCTCCAAACCTGCACCTCTTGTCCAAGGAGGCAAAACCAGAGAACTGGTGAGAGGGTCAGGAGCCAAGGCTCACTGAAGTGTTGAGTGATGACTGGCTCTTTTTGTGTAATTCAACAAAAAACAGTTACTGGAGCTTTAGTGGCTGGAAAAGTTCATGGTGGTTCTGACAGAAAGGTCTCAGAACAAACAGAGCATGTAGTTTCACTTGTTTGTTTTTGAAGGGGCTGCATCACCACAGATGACTCAGGCTGACACATGTCCAAGGCCAAAAGTACCTACAATGGTACATGTGAGCATTAGAACGGGACTGCGGACCAAGGTTCAATGTGTTGACGTGGCCTGCAAATTCTCCACTTTTAGTCAAATAGAACACAGAGTCTGATCCATGAGGGCCACACCTCACAATTTAAAAGACTTTAAACACCTCTGGACTGCAACACCTCGACACCGCAGGGACCTATACACAGATCCTGTTTGTGGATTTCAGCTGAGTGTTCAACATCATTGTTCCTGAACTCCACCACAAACTCAGAGTGCCAACCTCCTTCCTATTAGTGTATCACCAGTTTCCTGGCAGATAGGAGGCAACAGGTAAGGCTGGGGACCATCATCACTGGCGCCCCCCAGAGGTGTGTTCCCAGCTGCTGCTCCTCTCCCTCCACACCAACAACTGCACCTCAGGGGACCCATCTGTCAGACCCCTGAAGTTTATGGACAACACTGCAGTCATCAGTCTCATCTAAGACAGTGATGAGTCTGCATACAGACAGGAGGTGGATCAGTTATTAATATTTATTTTAATGTTAATACTGTAAAAACATACTGAATATTTACCTCATGTACCCAACTGTAATATAATTACTTTTTTCTCAAACACTCTTCTCTCCACTGCTCTCCTCATCGCAGTATTGCACTACTGTCTTGTATGTATAGGTTAGATGTCTAGTCCCAGTTTGTACATACCTTTTCATTCTTTCATTTCATATTTAATGTTTTTTCATAGAGAGCAAAGTTTACAAGAGTCAAATTCCTTTTTTATGTACAAGGCCGACTCTGCTTCTGATTAGAGGATCTGCTGCTTTAGTCGGGGGTACATTTCTCAGCATACTAGAGGACAGACTGACTACACTAGATTCCAGTGTAGTCAGTCTCTCTTCAGGTCAAGGCCAAACCCTGACCTGATGTTAGGTGGGTCAGCACAGTTTCATAGATGAGTATTGCTTACACAATATTTCAGTTCTGGGACCCTCAGGACAAGCCTCTTCCTGCAGAGTCTCGTATCTGACTACAATAATCGCTGCAGAATTCAAGATGAAATGATTTGTAATAATTTATTTAAATTCATAATCGATAATATAATGGTGTCTTCATGTTGAGCATATAAAATATGTACAGAGCAAATCATCCGTAAAAATGACAGATCCTGCTGGGAAAGTATGTGCTTATATTGTAGAAGGCGGTAGTATCAGAGTGAACTTCAGAGAGGACTCCTTCATGAAACAATCATTGATACTGCAGAGGAAGGTCTGGCGTGCAGTTTCTAGAAGATATTTAGCTCAGCTTGAAGTCTAAGCGGTGGTCGGTGATTAAGAAAGGCAGCAGTTGGACTGTTTGGACTCCCTCCCCTAAACAGAAAAAGAAAAGTCAGTCAGAAACTACGACCACTTTATACAAGCATTAAAAAAGTGTGCTGTCAGGTTCTCTGACAATAAGGGTAGATTGCTACGACAACAATGTACCTACATTTCTTCCTGTTAGCATGCTAGTGACGGCTAAGCTTTCCGGGTACCTGTTGTCTCTGCTGCTGACGTCTGTACTCTTCTTCACTGGCAGCGAGAGCCTGAGCCAGAGCCAGATCCTCCTGCTCCTGAGGGCTAAGAAACAGATGACGAACACACAAACATGAATGTAACGTGAACAATGAAGCCATTCATGCTGCTGCTGCTGCTGCACTGTCTTTATCGAAGATGAGTCTGATGATCGTCTGAAAACATGGAGCTGAAAAACATAAATCACTCCTCTACCTGTTTATAAAAATGCACTTATAAGAAACTCCTTCAATCACTGGGCACATTCATAGAATTAGTCCTTTTAAGATAATCCTGGCTCAAAATATGTCCCCAATGTTTATAGGAATTAAGTAGAAATTCTGTCTGAGCTTTTATTTGGAGGACCGACAGGATCCACAGCTCCAGCTAGTGGCACGTGGGTGTAAAACAATAGATATATATATGTATCAAAAAGGAGATTTCAATCCAGCAGTAGCTCCGGGGGTGCCATTTAGTGGATTTAAAACATATGTTGGTGATATTAGTGTATTTTTCCAGGTTGTTTTCAAATGTAATTACTTGATTATGCTGAGTAAAGAAGAAGCTGCTAGAGAAATACACAGCAGAGAGTCACTTGGGGCTCTCTGCCCTCCTTGGAGAACATCACCTACCCTGAGTGCCTCTCTAGGGCCATACTGCCCCCCACTGTTGGCTCTACTACCCTCTGATATACAGTAGTACAGGAGTATTCAAAGCAGAACAAACAGATCTGCAAACAGCCTCCTACTATAATACACTTTCATTTCTTTAGTTATCTATATGGAAGTATTTTTCCGTCAGTGTGACTGGAAGCTTATCAGTGTTTTTTGTTCTTCTGAAACTTGTATGTTGTGTTTGTTAAGTGAAATATCAATAAAGGGCTATATATTTCGATTCTTTCGCTATTCTTATCGGAATGTTTTGCTTTCAAGCTCCAGTGAGGATCTTTCATTATCAGCCAATTTTGGCGCCCCCTTGTGGACAACACAGTCTTTACTTTTATTGTCCTCTAAATTCTTGAATAAAGATGCATTGTTGTTTTCTGTATCAAAACCAATATAAATACAAAAAAATATATATATTCTGAAAATTAGCCGGTATATTTTTTTAAGTAGTCTCTTGGAAGCCTGGGATCAATGAGAGAAAACAGCACAGAAGCATGCCAACATTGTTAGGCGTACTACTGTCGAGCTGATAATAGGATATTTCTGGGGATTATAGGTTTTGATGACGTTTACTCACCTAAGAGACGGCTGAACAGTCTGCCTGGACTCAGCCAGAGACATCTCCAGAGCTCTTTGTAAAGCTTGCTCCTCCGTCTGCAATGACATCACCACAGCAGTACACCCATGTTTACTTTTCCCTCCCATTGTGGACTTCTTTACATCATGTGATCACAAGTTAATAACAGGGACACATACCAGGCCGGCCTGAAATGATGCTGATGGTGGTATTACATTCTGTGCTGATACGGATGTAGGGATCCGCTGGGTGGGGCTTGGGAAAGGAGAAAACCACAAGATAGGACAGCAATGGTTAAATTACTTTAGGTGTGTGAGACCTAGTACATTGAGAATGGATCATGAGTGGGAGCGCTTACCCGCTGTTGTGCCCTCTGTTGTTGGCACTGATGCCATTGGAAACAGGTCGCGGGTTTCCTGAAGCTGATGAACTAGAACCGGAGGCAGAGGTGGAGGAGGCGTTTTGCGCTCTTGCTACAGCAGCATTTCTAACACAGAAGCAAAAAAGGATTCCAACTATTACATTTCAGGTCGAAGGAAATCATCTGGAGGCACAGTGAAGCTGCACTCACCCTGATTTGGACAGAGGTTTCCCGTCCGTCTTACAATCATGGTCAAGTGGGTGTCGATGTTTAAGACAGTAATTTAAATGACACTGATCACAGGTCACTCTCATCATCTCCTTCTGCTTACAGCCGCCTTTAGAACATTTATTGGTAAAAATCTGAAGAAAAAAAAGAGAAAAATGTGAGTTAGGTTGTTTATATCTTAACTCATTTGTACAACAAAACAGCTCAAACTAAAACTTACTTTTCTCTTCCTCTGTGCAGGATCCGATTTGCAATCACGATCAATGTGTTCACCGACTTTTATATCGGGCATCTCTCCTCTCTTGATGGGAATGGGGATGTTGCATAAAGGACAGACTGGAACCTGGATGTCCTACAAAGGGAAAGCAAACCCAGTCTTATTTATTCATTTATTTTTTTAATTGTTTATGATCACAAACTGTGTTTTATTGTTGTAATTGTGGTTTTAATATTATAAATAATTCATTTATATAAGTTTAAACTCTGACTTTCTGAGGATAGAGAAACACTATGTAAACACAAAACCAAGATATGGTGAGCAATATAGTTTATTTAACATGTTAAGTCATTGTTGACAGCAAATATTGGCACAAGCCAAACCTCATGAAGGAGCTTTTGATATTTCTAACAAACAGCGTTACACATAACATCAAGTAAACTTGGAACTATTTAGGGTTTAAGCTGTTTGACTTTTTGTCTATGTAAATGAATGCACCATGGTGCAATGTTCACAGCCTGCCTTAAAAGAAGAAAACTGATATGATCCTTCCCTTCCTACATTTTATTTGTATTTGAGGTAAAATACAACGTATACATATAAGGGCCCAACCAATTTATTGGCAAGCCAACTAAATCGGCCAACTTAAGCCCGTTTGAGACTAATCGGTAAATCCGCCAAAACTCGCCGATGTTTTCAGAAATAAAATGCGGAGAATGAGATTCGGTTTCACTTCGAAAATGATGCGCCATTTGAAAAGTTCCCTGACTTATCCTGTAGATGGCGCAGCGACCTCATGACAATCTTCATCCACTAACACAGCACAGCAGGGTGACGGATCTGCAGCAGGCAGCTCAGGGACGCACAGAGGAGAGTGGTCCGCCTCAACGGTAAATAAACTAGTTTGTGAAATACACAATAAGTCAACAAGTTTCAGTTCAACCCACTTCACAATGTTCCCGCTGTGCTGGCATCGGTCACGCCGAGTTTACGGTGAAGCACCATGTAATGCTAAAGCTAAAGTTACAGTTAGCCATCTGCTATTAGCCTTGCTACACTGTTAGTCGGGCCAGTAACAGTAGAATAAACAACAGTAAACATTACATGATCGAGCTACTTCTCTTACTGAGGCAGCTGCATGTCTCCAGATGAGACCGGCCAGGAAATGTTTAACGTGAGTTAAGACGCGGAGGCAGTGGTCGGCAGTGGGGGGTAAAGTTGAAAATGCTTTATGATAAATACATGGACTATTACTGAGTTACTGAGTACAGCTGTTTTAGCAATAAAAAAGATTTGAAATGAGTTTTCTGCCTTTAATTCTTTGAAGAAGTGTTTGAAAGGCTCAAAAGCAGCCCTTTGTTAAAAAATAGTAAATATGTAGATATATTACTTGAATTAACAAAATTTTAAAACTTCATAAAAATTTAATAAAATCGGCCGATCAATTGGTAATAGGATTTATCCCCCCCTAATAATCGGTATCAGCCCCCAAAAATCCATATCGGTCGGGCCCTAACACATATACAGCTGTGCTAAAAAAAATACTGCAGTTACCTTTTTGTAGGAGGACATGCATTTGTGGTTTGCATAGGTTATGTGGTCCTTGCAGAAAATCTCTTGACAGGCATCACATTTCATGGGAAGAAAATCTGAAATATCAGGCCGGGTATTAAATTTCAGGTCGTCCTCACTTGGTATGTGATAAACATACATGACATTAGCATCTTTGACACACAGTACTAACCTAAACGTTTGCAGGTCTTCTCAGAGCAGTGCTCTCCTAGATCTGGAAACTCCATGACTGAAGAAGTCTGGCAGCTAACTGTGATGATAAAAGGAAATGTTTAATGTGAAAAACAAATAGTCGAGTTGTTCGGTTCAGACAAGGTAAACATTCGGGGTGGGGGACCCACTGCATGCTAGTGAAGCTAACAGTCGAGTCATCGTGACTAAGAAACACTTCAGCGTGGTGTTCAAGATGCCACATACCAACAAAACCTCTAGATAAATCTATTTCAATGTTGGCTTTGAGTGGCTGAAGTTTCCTGAGACTCGGAAACCGGAGACATTAATAAAAACACCCCAAAGGGACTCTTGGAGGAGCTGCTATATTGTTAGCGCAGGTTAGCAGGGCCAGGCTAAGTCCTATGATCAGAGTCCGTTATATAACAGGGCTCACCTAGAGTATAATCCTGAAACACAAATCTGAAACACAGAATAGACCTCTATTAACAGAAACGGGGATTAAATTTAGAAGTTAATCGTTTTAATTTTATTTTTATCAATGAAAAATATGGACTGAGATCAACCACAGGCATGCTAGCAGGTGTTACCATTACACAAGACAACACTAAATTTTAACTTTCTCAGATCCATTATATTATATTTATACGCTGTCTTTTCTCCAAATGTCAAAGTAAAGGCTGGTGACAACACATTAAGGCTACTTTACACACTACTACTGTCAGTGTTGAAGCTAAACTGGCTTTTTTAGACTCAAACATAGCTTCTTTGGAATATTTACTCACCAAACTCTGTATTCCTCCTAGTCTTCGTTGCACCACTATTCGACAACAGTGTAAACTTCGATTATCCAGGTTAAAGTCGATATACGCGCGTCTTTCGGACAGATGTTCGACCACTTTTCCCTGAGCTCAGCTGTCTGCTCGCCGCTGACGGAGCCGTCTGTTTTCATTGAGGCTTGATGCGTCACGTACGTCCTCCTCCGACGTTACGTCACCAAACGTCACACGCAGGTGTGGTTTTGTGCGTGGAAAAGACAGGTAAGATCCAGAACCATCCATAGCTTGTACAGGGATTTAAACTACTGTGTGAACACACTGTCACTTGGATAATGAAAAAAAGTTAAGAGTTCAGACAGTAACTCCCGAGTGAGAGTTATTAATCTATTAATTTTGATTAAATTCACCCCCTCTCTCTCCTTTCCTTTTGTTCTCTGGTGTAGCTTGTACATGAAGGCCTGTGGAGTGATTTTTAAAGGGTTTATTTTTAAAATCCCACTCTGGGTATGCTTTATTGTAATCGACTTACCCTGATCATCAATCAGGGTCCACAAGTGAGCATTACTGGTGTTTGTTGCCCTCTAGTGGTTTTGGTGGAGAACTTCAATATAATGACATGGCGAAATTAGTGCAAATGGAAGTGAGGGAGAGTGGGGTAAGATGAGCCATTTTTCATATTTTGGACCACTACATCAAAGCAATCATAGTTTTGTCTCTAACTAGTGTATGTGCATATATTTCAAACAAACAGAATGAGTGTGAACATAACTGTCTTGATAATATAGCATGCCAAAAAAAAATGGAAAAGGAATGCCTTTGAATGATTCAGAACATTCACAGCTGTATTTTTGAAAAGAAAAAGTAACACATTTCAACAATCTGAACTGAAACTCTGATCCTCTCATCAGACTACTTTACTTTCTCAGTTACCCCAGAACTACTATTATGACTTCATTAGTCCTCTTAGCTAAAATGGTGGACTTTTATGCTAGGTTTTTTAACCTGGTGTTGTAGCTCATCGATACCACAATTAATGTATAAAACATATTTTATATGATTTTTTTTTTTGTCTGAACACAATTCTAATAAAACTTATGACAGACTAAATTCACTTTCAAGAGTGATTTTTTTTTTTTTTTGGGGGGGGGGGGAATAAATGTCTAACCCCTTCACCCATGTGCTTCTAACCTTCACAGACTCCATGAATTGATGCCCATCTCCTAAATATTTGGTCACATGATCAATTTCTCTTAGCATTTCCAAGCAACAGGGGGTAGCTCAACTAACCCTTTGGCTCAACTTACCCCACTCTCCCCTACTTAACACAGTGCCACATCTATTGTTTTATGAAAAAGAAAAAAGAAAGAAAGAAAAAAGAAAGAAAAAACAGAATAAAACAAGGAAACAGAAGATTTAACCAAAATGTTATGTGCTCATGTTAACTGTTTTACTACAACTACTATAAAGATGGAAAAATAATTAGGATCTGTACAGTTTTCAAAAGAAATACATGTTTATACTCAACAAACAAAAATCACATTAGCTGAATGTGTCAGTGCCTTCATTCCCCTTGTTTATGTTGTAAAACACTGCGCCCATATTTTTTGGTCAGAAAAAGAATACTGTTTTATATTTGTACAGGTAGCCTACCAAATCCATCTTAACCCCATGTCACTATTAAAATCACACTTTTATATCCCCACAGTGGTCAAAGTTAAGAACTACAATGCCTTTAATGTTTTTCTCTCAGAGAGCATGCACTGGTCATTATCTTGATATAGTTTATGTGGTGCAACTTTAGCAGATTTGTCTTATTTAGTGTAGTATGTGGTGTTGAATTTAGGGGGACAATACTGCCACACTCCCTTCATGTGCTCACAACTTGAAACTAAACTAAAATGAACTACTGAAGTTACATATTTGTGGATAGAATTGACTTCCGGAGAATACTCTCAAATTAAATCAACAAGAGATGACCAGGAATTTTTTTATGTTAATAGTTTCATTAAAAAGAAAAGTCAGATTATATTTATCTTCATCATCGTAATGCATGCATGAGGAGTGAAGAAGCAGATTTCCCATCGAGTGGGCTGCGGCATCACAGTGAAACTGCTGAGACTGCTACTTTGTGAAGGCCAGTCGGCAGTAGCAGGTGCCTGTTAGTTCCTGCTGCTTTTTTCTCAGCATGTACTGGAGGAACCTTTACCCACTAAACCCTCATCATTTTTTCTCATTATCAGAGATTAACTGTAGGGAAGAGCAGCATTATTGGAGACACTTCTGTGCTCATGAGTTTAGGGTGACAAGATGAGAGAATTTCTTTTAAATTTTTTTCTATTTTCTCCATGGCAAAGCAGTGTGTTGATGGGTTTACAACAAAGTGAGTCCCAAAGACCCATAGGTAGTGTTGATAAAGTAAAATGTGGTTATAAACATGTGTAAAATGATGGTCAATTGGGGAGCCACCGTGGTCTGAGCATAAGAAAATAGCATGCACTGGTGTATATTGTTTTTAAAGCCAATGTCAGATACCGTTATGAAGAAATAATGCTCAGAAATATGTACATCAGCCACCTAAAACCCCTTATTCTTTATAATCAATGGTTTTATGTATCTGTCTGTTTTCCAGCTGATCTTAGACAAGGTAGATTTCTAACTGTAAGAGGAGATAAGATGAAAAGTCAAATGTGGTACCAGATTTAGATTTGTTTCCATATCTGGAAATGTTTGAAGTATTTTTTTAAAATCCTGCATTGTGTATAGATGGTCTTGCAAAAATGTCTTGCCAAAGAACTTGGGCATGTGGACAGCCCTGGGATTGGACCCTCAACTATGCCAATTGGGAGACAACAGACTTTACCACCGAGCAACAGCCACCCTTCGATATTGGGGTATATTGGGATATGTCATAGCTGATTGGTTTCCACAGAGAAAGAAAGAAAGAAAGAAAGAAAGAAAGAAAGAAAGAAAGAAAGAAAGAAAGAAAGAAAGAAAGAAAGAAAGAAAGAAAGGCCTAATCTAAGAGCACTGGGAGCATCACCACCAAAGGTGAGCTTCCTGCCGGCGAGCTCCAGGACCAGAACCCCTGTGAGGATGGCCATGCTCACACTACAACAGTGCACCGACAGGAGGTTGTGTCTAGCAATGTGAGCACCAATGCTCACCTGATCCACACAACCGAGGACACATCCATCCTCCAACCTCTTAAGCTTCGGAGAGCCAGCGCCTCAGGAGAGGATGAAGGACAAGACCCATGCCAGCCACTAGTCAGTCCACCCCATTCCCGGGGCGTGGTGGCCAGCCGGGGCCTCAGAGGAGGCCGGAGGATAGGACCCATGCCAGCCATCACAGCCAGTCCACCAGATCGCTGGGCCCGGCTTCGGAGAGCCGGGGCCTCAGGAGTGAGGTCTGGATCCAGAACCCCCTGCGAGTGGATGGCCATGCTCACACTACAACAGGGCACCAACAGGAGGTTGTGTCTAGCAATGTGAGCGTCAATGCTTACCTGATCCACACAACCAAGGACACATCCTCCAACCTCTTCCGAGGCCACCACACTCTGGGGATTGGGTGGACTGACTCTGGTGGCTGACATGGGTCCTATCCTTTGGCCTCTTCTGAGGCCCCGGCTGGCCACCACACTCCAGGAATCGGGTGGACTGACTGGTGGCTGGCATGGGTCCGGTCCTTCAGCCTCTCCTGAGGCCCCGGCTCTCCGAAGCGGAAGAGGTTGGAGGATGTGTCCTTGATTGTATGGATCAGGTGAGCGTTGGTGCTCACATTGCTAGACACAACCGCCTGTCGGTACCCTGTTTAAGTGTGAGCGTGGCCATCCACTTGCAAGGGGTTCTGGACCCGGACCTCGCCGGCAGGAAGCTCACCTTTGGTGGTGATGCTCCCGGTGCTCTTAGATTACGGTTGCAACGGGGCGGAAAATTTCCAGAAACTTTCCATGGGAAGTTAAGCCTGGGAATTTTGAAAATATACCAAATTGGAAACTCTCCATGAGATTTATGGGAATTTATGGGAATTAAGCGCCTATAAGCTTAAATACAGTAAAGCTTTAATGTGCACACCGGTATCTTTATTTTAGTTTCAGTATAAGCCAAGTTGAGGGTTGATTTAGTTTTAATATGACTGATAATAATTTCACTCTTGTAATCCCGAAAATATATAAGCTTTTCTCATCAGGGCCTCTGATAGAGTGATCACTGAAGATAGACACTCAGTTCTGTGCTTTCCATCCTTTGAAATATTGAACCCCAGAAGAGTCTTTAAAGAGCCTGCGGTAATATTCAGCATTCATGAAGAGGTGCGTGAGTCAGTTTTATTAAAAAGTGAAATAGAGCCATATAATTCCAATATTACTATTTGACATCAATTATTTAAGCTCAAACCCAATCATCCAATCTTTTGACAATTTACCCTGAATGGATCTGAAATGATGTTCCTGAAGTTGAGAGCGGTCGGCTCTCCAAGAAGAGTGAGGGGATCTGAACCCAACAGTTTTAGACGCCACAAAGGCTAAACCTCTCTCCTACCGATGGCTTTAAATGTGGGTTAATCAGAGTCCAGGACTTGTTGGTTTAATGTTAGAAATCTGAGTGCTGTCTTTCGCTGCTTTTACCAGCTGATGGCAGCAGGAGCCTTCTAAACTCCACAGCTCGCCCAGGCTCCAGAGTATGTACAACACATCCTTTATACTTCAGCTCCTTATATTTGATGAGATCCATAAAGTTAATAACTTAAGGAGCAGTAAAACACATCCTTTTATTTTTAAGAGAGCTTCATCATCAGTTTCTGGAACACCTGCCACATAAAGCCATGGCCAGATGGCATCGCTCTGAACACACCTGCCTCTCTCTCACGTTCACAGCCACACAGGTCTCCTTCGACTGCTGTTGAAGAGGCTGTTTCAGATAATCAGTCGTGATAAATGACCTCTCTTTTCAGAGGAGTAATGTGTGAAGTTTGAGTCCATCCATGTGAGATATGTT